TCTCATACAAATTAATATTAAATGCTGAAGTGGAGTAAGAGAAATTGCTAAAAAACCATCTGTTTATATGGCCCACCTAGCAGCTTGAGTCTGAGGCTGCAGTCATGTGATGGGAGGTGGTGTGGAACATTATGTCTTTAAAATGACCTCTGGATCTGCATGAACCAATGTGAGGCTCCATTACTGATGTCTGTCAACAAATATTTACAACATATTTTACTGTTGCTCCTCAATGTATGTATACACACAGATACTGTTCCAAATTCATGATGAAACACATGTCCATCTATTTACTACAGGTCAATTATTAGAGAAACTTAATTCCTATTGTGCTCATAAGGTAGATCAGGTGACACAAATCAACAACTAAACCACAGACAGTGCTGATCACAGGGCGCAATGTCACTGCGTGCATAGCTAAAAAACCTATCACTCAAATTGAGAAGGTTCGTAAATAGACATGCTGTCAAAGCATGTGCCCGTGGCTGCTATTCCTGACAGCAGTTAGTCTCGGTCCTCTCTATAACCTGCAGGTGACAAAGTATGAGTCAGTGTGATGCCTGGAATAAAACTGACTGAGCAAGCAGGAGTGTGACTGAAAAACTGTGAAAAACATTCACTGAACTTACAATTCTGAGGCACTTGTATTTCTGTTTTATGCTTTATACTTCTACCTCACTACTTTACCACCAGTTACCACTTTTCAGATTAAGATTGTTACATAAAAACAAAACATATGCTTATACAACATAATTCACTGTTAGAAATTAAACCAAAGTAAAGACTCAGCAGTAGTGTAAGAAAAAACAGCCTCATTTCCTTATTAAATAACTGAAATTCAATCATAACCGCACTCACTGTCAACATACCTTTTAATAGAAGAATCAATCATCATACACACTACAATGCATAGTGAAATGATATACGTATATAATGATATGAAATACTAACAAACTAAGGAGAATCCATGATCCAAACTGTACTGCACATCCCTGGGAAACTGGTGAAGGGGTACTGCCTCCTTTTGGTGGAAATGTAATATCACACCTTGATAATATTGAGCAAATGTCTCTGTTTATGGAAATGAATACAAATCCATTGACTATATAGCATAAATGGAAAAATATCCAGTACAAACAAAAGAAGAAAAATAAAAATAAAACAAAAAAACAAAGAGACATTTGGCCCAAGCTGTCCTTATAATATTAATTATTGTTGCCAGGCAATTTAGAATTGACTGTTTATTCTTAAAGCTGCCATCTATTTTAATTAATTATTAGTACATTAGAGTATTTTCTATTTTATGCCACATTATATTTTAACTCAATCTCACTGATATGTGTACTTCATTACATAGTCCAGATTAGAATTAAATATGTTTTGTTAACTACTACTTAGCTACGTATGTGTGACTTTCACTTGTAATGGAGTATTTTTACATTATTGTGTTTCAACTTTTACTGAAGTAAATTTATTTTAATTTCAGAGCTGCATCTGTCAACAACATTATTAACTATCATTAAATCAAATAATTGTCTCTTGGCTCTCTGTCAGCCCACTCAGTAAAACCATTATCAAATCATAAAGGTTCTATTTTAAAACCAATAAGGATTTGAATAAATAATTTAATCAAATTATAAGTGGTTAAAAGAACAATGTCTGACCTCTGCAGAAAGAGATGTAAGAAAGAGTCTTCTGACAAGACTGAAACAAATCTCTTAGGTTTTCTGTACATATTATACTCTAGTATATTAGCCATAGACACTGTGCAATCAGGGTTTTACAGATGCTAAATACTAATAAAAGGTTTTGTCAAAATTACATTTTGAGACTGTCTTTATTGCCCGTAAGTTTTCCTGCCCAGTGTCATAATGGGTACTTAATAAGACTGAATGGAAACAGAAGCTACATCTATAGTCTATAACATATTATATATATTCAAGACAAGTTTGTGTTGCTTTGAAGTAATATTCTTACTGGAAGTTTTCGTGCAACCCCACAGTGACTTTGGCATGCAGCTGAACTTTAAATTGTCATTTAAGCTGGGCTATGATGTGGTCAATGGAACAAAACATTCCAGGAGGCATGCAGGAATGTGGCATGGCTGCATGTTGTTGCTGGGTGCACATAATGACATATGGACACTTTGTGTGTGTAACTAATGCTGTAGCCTTTAAGTCTGAACAACACACACCCAAAATGGATCAGACTAGAGATAGACTCGACAAGACGAGAAGAGCTTTATGTGATGGGCCCCTTTAGATGAGCTCTTGTAGAGACAATATGGTAAAAATTATAGGGAAAAAAGAAAAATGATCAAATACTGCAGCTGATTTTCATCTCAGAAATAATTTTATTTTGGAAAAAATAAATACAAAATATTGTACACATCACATTAAAGAGTGTAGATGTCTTTTAAAACAAATCTGAATAACTGCTAATATTAAGGCCATGAAATACTTTATCTGTAGTTTAATGTAAACCACACGCATCAAAAATCCATTCAGCTTCATCATGACTGAGTGGATAAAATTAAAGTTCTATATGTAAGTGAGAAAATATAATACTGAATTGTAGAAAACAACAACACCTTCTTGTAAACTTGACCCATTTTCCAATTCTCAAACTGCTGTATCAGTTTCTGGTTCATTCGTACAAAGGGCAATAATGTAGCAGCTACAATTAGTAGACAGAAAGAAGAAGAACAAGAAGATTGATAGGGTCCCACCTCGTTATCTACACAATTAAGCATACCAAACTAAATGACAGAGAGGAGAAAATAAAGCTTATTCAAGGATGACTTTTGAATTAAATGTTGTGAGAAATTATGTCAAGTATTGGACACGTGACATCTTTAAAGTCCCTGCAGTGATCTGTCATAAATCAGTGCCAACACAGCGCTGTCAATGTCCTTTATGTAGCAACACAGAGAGTAATATTATGGATCATCTGGCTGCGTGTAGGAGACATCACGTTCCATCACAGACTTGCAATTAACCCTCACTTTTTCATTAACCGCAACCAGGACGTTCCTCAACCCTTAACCAAGTGTTCTAGTTGCCTGATCCAAACCACACCTTAATCATAACCACAACCTTTCCCTAACCTAACCATTCCAATAGCTGAGAGATGTTGTAGACAGTTTCCCATGTTCAATGACAATGTTGTTTTTGGAAACGTTGGCGCTTTGTTTGTTTGTTTGTTTGTTTGTTGCAGTCCTGTTGGGGAGGGACATGTGGTGCTAACAAGCTGGTGAGGAAGGCTTGCTCTGTAGTGGAGATGTAACTGGACGGTGTGGAGGCAGAGCTTCCCTCTCATCCGAGTCACAGATGAGACTCATCCAGCCACTTGCCTCAAGGTAGCTGGATCATCAACCGTCATCCTCCACAACGCCACAGAACCCAGTACCTCCACTGCGTGAGACTGTGTCTTTTTTTTTTTTTTTTTTTTTTTTTTTTTTTTTTTTTATTTTATTTTTTTTTTTTTTTTTTTTTTTTTTTTTTTTTTTTTTTTTTTTTTTTTTTTTTCTTTTCTTATCTTTCCTTTCCTTTCCTTCCCTTCCCTTCCCTTCCCTTACCTTATCTTATCTTATCTTATCTTATCTATTCTATCCGGACCTGATCTGATCTATCTATCTTATCTTATCTTATCTTATCTTATCTTATCTTATCTTATCTTACCTTACCTTACCTTACCTTACCTTACCTTACCTTACCTTACCTTACCTTATCTTATCTTATCTTATCTTAACTACAGCAATCTGAGTTGATCTGAGTCTTACTATGCCACTGAAGAAGTGTTTGATACTTCCAACCATAGGTTCTTTGAAAACATTTCTTAATTAATACATTGATTGTTGGTTTTTGTCTTTTCATTAAAATTGTTAATTATAATAAAAAGATTTTAAAAAATGTTTTAAAAATACCAGCTTTCTTGAAGAATAAGCTAACAAGCTTGCAATATAATGGAGAAAGCATCATTGCTGTACTGAATGTTGTGAAATGGTCACAGTTTATAGACATTAAAACTAATTGAGTAGTTGTTGATTAGCCGCTGCCACCACAGACGTCTGGACTCCATCAGGGGATTTACCTTACACTATACCCTAACCTGGATTTTTGGACAGTGATGCTACTGGGATACCTACAGCGTCATATTTTGAAACAAATGGCCACTGACCAAGCAGCACTATTTGACAACTTGGAAATGAGACCAACAATTAACAGTTAACATCACATTTTGTTTGATTTGCCTTAAAAATTCGTAAATGGACAAGCTGACACAGTGCTGCCAGAGCGTGTGCCCGTGGCTGCTGTTCCTGACAGCCCTTAGTCTCGGCCCTGTCTATAACCTGCAGGTGACAGTGTATGAGTCAGTGTGATGCCTGGAATAAATCTGAGCGAGCAAGCAGGAAACATTTTTAGAAATGTGTGACTGAAAACTGAACTTACAATTCTGAGGCACTTGTACTTGAGTATTTAAATGTCATGCTACTTTATACTTCCACTCCACTACATTAGTCACTACTTACTAAGTACCACCAATTGCCTTTCAGATTAAAGAAGAGAAATTGAAATCTTCATAACTATTTGAGGCTAAAAGAGATTTTAAAAAATCAGCATTTCACAATTAGATATGTTTTTATTCTACCATAATTAGCTATCTAAACTGACTATATATAAAGTACTTAAAACTAGCTCCATCTTGAGCTCCAATATCTAAATTATGCTTACACACTGAAGCATCAGTATTACTTTAATAATGTAATATTTGATACTAATCACTTCTGCAGAACAAGGGCTTTTTGTGCACTGTATCCATTGTTTAAGACTCTTTTTAAAAATAAGTATATCCATTGAAAACAAAGAACCGATATGAAATCGTACACTGTCAAACTAAGGAGAAGCCATGATCCAAACTGTACTGTACATCCCTGTTAAAATGATTGAGGGGTGCTGCCTCCATGGGTTGCCCTTTTAGTGGAAATATAACACCACATCTTTATTCTTGCTGATTTTATTGAACAAATGTATAATTTCATTGTAGAAATTAACACAAAGAAAACAAAAGAAAGAAACCCCCAACATTTAAAAATCACAAAAAATTAGAAGACAATTGGCTCATGGATAATATTGTTACTGGATCCTATCAGAGCTCCCTTCCCGTGTCTGCACACAATTATCATAGTTGGCAGTGGTGCAAAGTAACTAAGTACATTTGTTTTGCAATTTATTAATAATAATTTTGAGCTACTTCACTTTAGTGCCGTAGTGGATACTAAATGAAACCGAATGCAAACAGAAGCTAACAAAAGTGTGGCAGCACTTTAGATCTCTGTATCACATATGCACAGGTATTTGACACATTTATATATTCAAGACAAGTTTATGTTGCTTATATTCTTGCAGTACGACAGATCTGGGCCTTTAGTGTAATCCTGACAAACCCGGACTTATCTCTTGATGTATTTGAAGGTCAGCCGTTTCCTTCCATCAAGTCCTGGTGGAGAAAAAAAACAGTTAGATTCTGATTCATAGAAAAACAATCTCAGATATACAATATTCCAACCCTATCTTTTCCCTTGTTTTACTGCACTGTTACATGGTTGCCGAGTCAATAATGGGATGTATTAGCTGTGTGTGTAAGACAGTATGATTTATGTACATAATGTAGCATTTATTTTTCCACTCACAGCATTCGTAAAGCGTGTTGACACGAGCAATGTCATTGACACTCATCTCTGTCGCTTGTCCAAAGTTAAGGCTTGGATTGCTCCTAGAGACGATGGTTGGCTGCCCGTTTTTGGAGAAGGCGAATCTTGAGGACGACACAAACACAACATTTTGGTATATAGAGCTATACACACACAAACACAAGCACACACTGAATCTGTACTCACAATTAAAGCATTCTTACGTCTTTTGATCAGTTTTGATTAACTTATAATGTGACTGCAAATGAGGTATTTTCTTCAGTTTAACCAGAAGTTCTCAGTTTGTTAGCTCACACAATCACTCACTTGCTGTAATGCATGACAGAGTCGAAGTCGTAGGGAGTGCCCAGGTTGTTAGTCCCCACCTTCACAAAGTTTGATTCCTTTCCTGCAAAAGAGGAGAGCAAAATATTGAAATACAGATTGTAAATCCATCAGTTACAGTTGGTTCAAATTGTCTGTGGTCGTGGCTGTTTTATCAATGCAACCCAATCAGGAGTTTGCACACTAGTTCATATAGATATAACCCAGTGAAGGTCTTCAGTGTGTCACATGTAAGAATCCATAACCATTGTCCATAAATCTCCATACAGCCAACACCTCACCAATATAACAACACAGCGTTCAGCTGTAGCGAGGGCTAGCGTAGCAGTCAAAAAAGTATTTGTGCTCAAGTGAAGGTTGAAAGGGACCTGAAGTACAAACTACCTACACTTCTAGAAATGGCTCGCGATCCTCTAACTTTTCATCCAGTGCAATCATCAGGTCAAAACTTCAGTTTGCCCAATACTTTGGTTTATGGCCAAATACCTGCAAAACTACTGACAGTCAGTACTGATCAGCCTTAGGTGTGACCAGAAATAAAGGTTTTTGTGGGTGAGCTGACCTGGCTGGATGTTCTGGGTGAGGATGGAGACGTATGTGTCCCTGTCGGAGCGGACCTGCTCGTGGTGGAAGCCCAGAGCGTGGAGAACCTCGTGCTGCACTGTATCTTTGTACAAACAACCATTTTTCCTCAGGGAAACCGGCTGTCCTCGGCTTTGACGGCCCAGGTAGGACCAACACCTGACACACAAAGACACAAACACACACTCTTAACAGGAATAGAAACTTGGGGTGTGGCTGAGAGGCACACCACACTACACATGTCATTCTCCTCTCCTTCTCCTCCCTTGTTTCCTGTCTGTCTCCACTGTGTCAATAAAAGCTATTTCTTCTCTAATCTCACGATCGCTTGGATTTATCTTGTGACCCTTTTTGAGAGGCCCGACCCCTAAAGAAGTCTAAAACTAGCTCCAACTTAAACAGCTACAACACTAAAATGCTTGTTTTACATTGATGGATCAGTATTCACTTAATAATGTCACATATAATAACATTTCAGTCACAGTATGATTGCTTTTACTTTTAATACTTTGAATACTTTGTGCTGTGTCAACTCCAATCCTTTCATGTTAGTGTGTGTGTGTGTGTGTGTGTGTGTGTGTGTGTGTGTGTGTGTGTGTGTGTGTCCTACCCAGTTCCAGAGAAGAAGTGGAGGTAATTCCGATCGGAAGATCGTCTCCAGACAAAGCGAATGCAGGTGGATTGGTGGAAGCTCACCAGGCCTCTAATGATGATGTTGCGCTCTTCTCTGGCTGCAGAGACAAACAGGTTGCTCACTTCTTCTCACATCTCACATTTTCAGCTGAGGGCTGGTAGGGATTACTTATTTATCTATTTATTTATACATAATTTCTGTATTTCCTTTAAAATGTTTTTTTTTGATCGTCCTTTTCTCACTTAATTAAAAAGAACATCAAGTGCAGTATACCCATATTGTTGTTTTTTTATTATCTTGTGAGGTGTTTTTCTGTATAAGAATTTGTTACTCTACAAGTAAGATTTAGTATTTCTTTTAATTATTATTATGTATCTACTTATTTTGATGTGTGTCTGTCTTTTTGAGGTTGTTTGGGTTTGGTTTGGTGTGACTGTGTTCTTATACTTTATTTTTTATGGCCAAATACCTGCAAAACGAATGACATTCCCATAAGTCTTAAGTCATCATTGAGGTTCAGAAAATTCACATAGCTCTTATATCAGTGGATCACTGACACTCTCCTCTATCCATTCATATACAGATATTTATTGTGTATTGATAACCTGTGGACATACAGACCAGAAACTACAAAGAAATCCAATTGTGGCGAGGATCGGACGGTGTCGGGGAGGCGTGGATCTCACCCAAAATATTAATAAAAAAGAAAAAGGAAAGACTCTTGTCTTACATTAATGGATGTAAATGTTCTAAAAGTACTGTGCTCAACTGCAGTCAGCAAAGCTTAACTGCTCATCAGGTTTTAAATGACACAACAAGTAAAAAGTTATAAATCTAAATGTTAAGACAGTATTTGTGCCCACTTCTAAACGTTTTTTCTTTTTCTCTTTTTCACTACAATGAAACTTTGTTATTTGTGACTGGAACCAAGCCACAGTGACATTGACTAGACCGGTTTTTAGACGTCAAAGGTTAAGAGTTAAGTCAACTTACTGTAGCTGGAGGAGATAGTGACGGGCACTCTGACGTAGCTTCCGCTTTTCGGCCACTTGCAGCCTCTGGCAGTGCAGGGGTCTGCATTCCTGTTTCGATTTGGCACAATGTCGCCGTGTTCCAGTCTCGTTGCTGCAGAATGACAAACAGACAAATTAATCTTCAAACCAGGAATCTATAGAGTTTTTATTATTATTGATTAGTCCGTCCATTATTTTATTATTTTCTCTATTATTATTTTTTTCTATAGTGCATTAGTCTTGCAATTGCTTGCAAAGATATTAAAGGAAGAATTTTTCATTTGACGAGCTGAAACCAGCAAATGTTTGGAATTTATCCTTATAAATAAATAACATCAGCAACATAAACAGTTACATGATTAGAACTGTTGACTATGGTGTAATGTATTTGTATTTTTGCCAAAAGATTTAGATGATATAAAACTGTCTTACATATGCCTTCGTTAGCTATAGCGATGACTTCAGAGACGTCTAAAGACCCATCTGGAAGTAAACAGAAAGTGTAGCAGTTGAAATTATTCACATCATTCAGATGTGAATCGAGGACATAAAAGATAAAAATGTAAATTCAATATCTGAAAAATTATTAATTATTCAACTAACCGGTTACAGCTTCATCATCGGTTGCACCCTGTAACACAAGTCATGAAATTGCACATTTTTAAAATTGTGTTTCTTTATGTTTCTTGATGTTGTTGCAGTTTTTTTTCATCCATATAAATTAATGCTCCATCTTAAAGGCTCATATAATCCTCTTAAAAGCATCTGAATGATCTAAAAAAAATCTATTTTTAGTTAATTTTCACAGGGCAGCAGGCAATGTTTAACATCACAATCCCAGTGCTGAAAGAGTGACACTTACCGCCGGAATGGCCGTCAATGAGAGGAAGACGAGGCAAAGGAAAGCTGGAGTCATGGTGGTGGTCCACAGATTTTCCCTGTTGTACCTGAACTTGCTGATGCTTGATGCTGCAGAAGTTCAGCTCCTTGCTCTTTAAAGGCCGCTCATGCTGGGTGTGTCTGAGGTTTCACCAACATCTGTCAGTCTTCTGCCGGTTGAATACTTCTGTGTGATCCTGCTTAATCAGAATGACTGGCAGTATTTTTCCACGCCGGAAATCCCATCACAGTAAGGACATGTGGTGGTATTCAGATCCTTAACTTATATAAAAGTAGCGATTTATGACAAAAGCAAAAGTCCTGATTATGCAGAGAATGGACCTTTGAATGTTATAGTTTTTCCTATTATAATTTTGTAAATTGAATTTGATAGTGGAAGCTGGTTTAGGGGAAGCTAAATGTAACTGCTTTATTACTGTAGTTGTATAATCAATGAGAGAACATCATATTTTATAAACTCAGCACAGCTTTCGATGTAAAATCTTCATTTGCAAAGCAACTAGTAATTACTAAAGGTAGTCTTTACTCTCTCTGTTGTCAAATAGAAACATAAAGAAGCAAGTAGTAGTAGTGTACTCAAGTACGCTCCTTGTAAATGTCTTTAGTTGCATTTTACCAATGGAGATATCAGTACTGACATCTGATGACACTGACTAAAGAAAGGAAAAGAAGGCTACAAAGACAACAAAAACAAGTTGTTTAATGTCTTATGTCTGTAAAATGTAACTTGTTTCCAAAGAGTACAGTCTGCATTCTTCTCAGAGACGAGGCTATTTTTACCCAAACTAAAGATCAAACTTCGCTCACAGGGCTAGAGCATAACAGCCACTATCAGTTCACACTGTCCATTGACAGACGAATGCTTGTGAATGGATGAGTAATTTTCAAGGGACAAACCAAGAGGCTTATTGTTCACTGGTGTGGTTTGGGTGGTTTGGGTGGAAACCAGGAAACATTTCTATACAAAGCTTCCCTTAAAAGGACCTGTATTAGAAATACAAAATATCTTATAGTTATATAAAGGTCCAGTGTGTAGGATTTAGTGGCATCTAGCAGTGTAATTGTTAGATCGCAACTTCCTCGCTTCATCCTCCCCTTCTAAGCGCCAAGGAGAAGCTAAGGTGGCCATGGGGTAAACATCTGTGTTTACCCTACTGTTTCATGTCACAATGGCAGCTGTGAAGAAGGTCTATTATAATCATGGCTCTGATTGGAGCACTGGTAATAAAGGACAGCCATATTCAAAGATCCAAAGAGTTTCCACTAAACCCACTTTATAGATGTTGGCTAATGCTCTCAAACAGGCAAGAACTTCCTTCTTCCACCTGTGTACGTTGCGTAAGGTATTATGTCACAAAGGTAATGTGTAGGATAGGTGTAGGTGTGCAATAAAACAAAAATGATGGATGATTTGTTTTTTATGTTCGGCAACCCCAAACGAGGAAGTAAAGTTAATGTCAACCAAACACAAGGGTTAAAGTCAATAGCACTCAGCTCCAAACTTGTTCACCAGGAAGCACATTCTTGTGTCTTTTGTATATGTTTAACAAAGAGAGACATTCAGGTTAGTCCCTTTGTCAGTCAGATGTAAAGCGACATTACTGGAAGCTTTAGAGCACAGTGACATCGGCATGCAGCTGAACTCAGACTTCAAAATGACAACTTGACTTCCATGATCCTTAGGAACAAAACACCCTCAGAGACATGCAGCAGGAATGTGGAGAGGCTGTATGTTGTTGCAGTGAGATATATATGTTTTTCTTGGCTATACACACACACACATACACACACACACACACACACACACACACACACACACACACACACACAATAAATCAGAATAGAATAGACCATGTAAAGTGCCTTTGAAGTGCTTTATAAAATAATGTATTATTATTATTATTATAAATGATTTAACTCTGGAAGAAAGAAAATAGGAAAAATAAGTGTTATTGTTATTTGATCAAATGTGTAAAAAGGTTTTGTCTTTCTGGCCAGTGACCTCTGCGAATACAATAGCAAAGGCAGAAGTAGCATAACATTGTTACACTGCTACAGAAAGTTTTGCAAGCTCAACACAGGAAGTTTGTCCCCTCTCCTACCAACAGTCAAGATTGAACCTTAGACCTTAACCATGGAGGTGGATGATAAAACATCCAATAGGTGGACACACAGCCCAATATCACTATTTCTTCCCAGAGTCGGAGCTGCTGTAATAATTTCTTCCATGCAGCAAATTCATCCAAACATTCAGCAGAGGTGGGTGAGGTTTACATTCAGCTGCAGGAGGAAGAGAGGTGTCGATGAATTGTGAGAGCAGTGCCGGGTGAGTTGATCGTTTGAGCCGGTGCTCACTGAGGAATCACTCTCTCTCTTTAAATGCAGTAGCGTGCAGGAGCTCAGATGGCTGCTGCACACACACCAAAGGACTGCCACGCCAGCAAGAAGCTTCAGTTACAGCAACCTCTTCCGGCGAAGTGCAAAGCTGCAGTCAAATTAGGCTGGCTAGTTGGTGGACAGGAGGCTTTTAATTAAATACACACGCACGCACACACACACACACACACACACACACACACACACATGCACACACACACACACACACACACACACACACACACACACACACACACACCTTAATGAGCAGTGTTGGAGAAACCACTTTATTTGAATCTCTGTTTGTTCTGAAGCATCTTTGCTTTGATCACTCTCAGAATTAAATTATCTTTGCTTTAAAAATTCTTCGATGCACACACACACTAAAAATGAATATCATGTTCCATTTACAAATAAAGATTGATTAATGTGTGTATTGTGTTTTTGAGGAGAGAGTGGTGGGAAAATATGGCACAGGTTGGGTGTGCTTGTGTAACTATTTTAACAGTTGTTGGACTGAGCTGGTTTCTTCTTTCTTTTGCTCACAACTTCTCCCCATTTGGAAAATACTTGCTCAGGTGATGCTGGCGTGCATAAAAATAGTTTTGCTAGTTTAAACAGATGAGCCAGTGGGTCCTCTGTTCTTTCCAGCGGTGGGTCAGTCACGTACCACTGCACCTCCACTGTAACTTAACTATTTATAACATTACCCGTGGATGATGGATTTTCAACATTTGCTGGTGCTGGTTGAGCTGATGTGGAGGGCTGTTCTTCTGAAGGTGTGTCAGGTGGTGTGTATCTTAACAACTGTGAGCATTGTACATTCATTTTACTGGTGGCTACACCTGTACAACAACTGTCCAGTCATACACTTGACTTTAGAGTCCTGGACATTCCCACAACAGCACTGATCTGGAAGTTGCTACAATCAAATCAAAAAACTGATGAAATCTTACACTGTCAACTGTAGTGTACATTCCTGTTAAAATGATTGAGGGGTACTGCCTCATTTTGGTGGAAATACAACATCACACCTTTATTTTTGGTTGATTTTATTGAACAAAGCATTTAATTGTAGAAATTAATACACAATTGTTGACTCTAAATCATAAATGGACAAATATCCAGTATAAAAAACCCAGAATCGAACCCCTAACCCCTAACCCCAAATGACACCCTTCTGGTGTCTGCACACAATTATTGTAGTTTGCAATGGTGCAAAGTAACAGAGTACATTTGTTACAACTTTGAGGTACTTCACTTTGAGATTTCTATTTTATGCTACTTTATATTTCAACTCAACCACACAGATTTCACATCAACATGATCGTTTTATAAAATGTAATGTCTTGTTACAAATTTAATGCATAGTTTCACTTTGTTTGTTTTTTTATTTTAATCTCTGTGAGCCCTCGCAGTAAAACCATAACCATAACCAATTACAAGTTTCTATTTTAAACCCAAACAAGAAGAAGTGAGTAACTGATTTAAATCACATTATAAGTGGTTAAAAGAACAATGTCTGACCTCAGCAGAAAGAGACGTAATACCATTGACCTGTTCAAAATAAAGAACAGCTCGCTTCTGTTCCACTAGCCCCGGCACAAACATTTTTCACCAACATTTTCCTTCATGAGTCTTTCTGACAAGCTGAAACAAATTTCTATCTTAGCTGCATATGCTGAGTCAGAGCTTCCCAAAGTTGGCCCACCATAAGGTTCGATTTGACCCATAAGATGTTTCTAGCAAAAAAAAAGGATTTTATTTTTTGTGGGGTAAAAATGCTCTCTAAATATATAGGATCCCTAATAAGCAATTCTTTTTCATTATCTGAGCTTCCACTTTGAGTAGGAAGTCAGAAACTTGGGATCGTGGTAACATTTTACATCTTAATACAATACATTAGGTGTTTGCTTTGGCCCGTGGCCCACCCATATGTTTTGGCCCTCCAAGGAAAAAAAAAAACTGGGCTCCCCGGTGCTAAATGCTGTTTTGGCGTCTTCACTTGTTGCAAATTTTCCTGTCCAGTGTCGTACTGGATACTTAATAAGACTGAATGTAAACAGAAGCTAAGAGAAGTGTGGCAGCACTACAGATCTCTATATCACATATGCACAGGTATGCAGTACACTTATGTATTCAAGACAAGTTTGTGTTGCTTTGAGGTAATATTCTTGCAGTACAACAGATCTGGGCCTTTGGTGAGTTGAAGTATCTGGAGCTTGGCCGTTTCCTTCTGTCATTAAATTCCTGGTTGAGAAAAAAAATGAGATTGTGATTCATAGAAAACCATCTCAGAAACACAATATTTCAATCCTATTTTAACTCTATTTTTCCCTTGTTTTACTGCACTGTTACACAGTAACCCAGTCAGTAGTGGGATGTATTAGCTGTGTGTGTAAGACAGTATGACTTATGCACATAATATAGCATTTATTTTTCACTCACTGCATTGGTAGAGCTTGTTGACACGAGCAATGTCATTGACACTCATGTCTGTGGCGTATCCAAAGTTGAGGCTTGGATTGCTCCTCGCAATGATGGTTGGCTGCCCGTTTCTGGAGAAGGCGTATCTTGAGGACGACACAAACACAACATTTTTGTATATAAAGCTATACACACACAAACACCAGCACACACTGAGTCTGTACTCACAGTGTGAGTGCTTGTTTTGATTAGTTTTGATTAAGCAATAATGTAACCTTTTGATTTTCTTTCCTTTGAATACACATGTTGACTTACATTAAAGCAATCATAATAGGTGATATGAATATATATGAATGCACTCATACAATCACTCACTTGCTGTAATGCATGACAGAGTTGAAGTCGTAGGGAGTGCCCAGGTTGTTAGTCCCCACCTTCACAAAGTTTGATTCCTTTCCTGCCCAGGAGGAGAGCAAAATATTGAAATACAGATTGTAAACTTTCTGTTTTGACCTTCAGTAAAAGTTGGTTGAAAATGTCTGTAGTTGTTGCACCTGTGTTTTTCAATGCAACCTGATACATTCAATGAGGTATTGCTGTTCTGGTGCCAAACTTCAAAACAAACCTTTCTGATTTATCCCTGCTAGGAAGAGAGTCTGTTGATCACTTTGCTGAGTTGGTTTATTTTAACTTTTCAGTTCACATAGGAAGGCTTAAGGTTATTATAGGTAACTAAAACTAAACTAAAAACTAAAATTTAGTGTGAAAAAAACATTTTAGTTAACTAAAATAAAAATAAAACCTAAACTTTAGAAAAACATTCAAATTAACTGAAACAATGTTGCTTGTACTTGCAAAACTAACTATAATATACAAATAAAGAGGAAATGTATTAAGTTTTAATCAACTTGGTCAAATCTTTCAACCCAACAAGCATGCATCCTCTAACTTGTCATCCAGTGCTTTTGTCCAGTTGGACGAATACCTGCAAAACTAAAGACATTAGTGGCAGTAGCAGTCTGGTTGTTCTGTTATTGATCTAATCTGAGCTATAAATTCAGCCCTCATTGTTCTCATCATTGTATAAGACATAAAACCAGAACAGTTTTTTGTGGGAAAGCTGACCTGGCTGAATGTTCTGGGTGAGGATGGAGACGTATGTGTCCCTGTCGGAGCGGACCTGCTCGTGGTGGAAGCCCAGAGCGTGGAGAACCTCGTGCTGCACTGTGTCTCTGTACAAACAACCATTTTTCCTCAGGGAAACCGGCTGTCCTCGGCTTTGACGGCCCAGGTAGGACCAACATCTGACAAACAAAGACACACACACACACACGCAAACACACAAAGACACACACACACACACACACACACACACACACACACACAAAAAAAAAAAAAACACAGTGAAATCATAGTAAAAAAGGTATTGTTTCTACTATTATAGTGACCACACAGGAAGAAATCACTGTCCTCTCTCTCTTTATAATCTCATCTAACAAGTCCTCCAAATCTAATGACAACATACATTGTTTGGAATTGCTCTCTGGAACAACACAAAAGCAGCACATAGACCTGTTTTCAGTGGTGGAAAGTGACTGTATTTAAATAAAAGATACTTGTTCTGAAGTGGTGCTTTAAGAAGTGGGCACACTCTTAATTTATGCCCCAAATGTTCTTACATTGATGCATCAGTTTATACTTAATAATATCATATATAATAACATTTCAGTCACAGTGGACATTTATTGTTGCGGAGTGAATGTTTTTTTTCTTTTAATACTCTAAGTAATTTTGCTAATGGTGTGTATGTGTGTGCGCGTGTGTGTGTGTGTGTTTCCTACCCAGTTCCAGAGAAGAAGTAGAGGTAATTCCGATGCCATCGTCGTCTCCAGACAAAGCGAATGCAGGTGGACTGGTGGAAGGTCAGCAGGGCTCTAATGATGATGTTGCGCTCTTCTCTGGCTGCAGAGACAATTAATGTGCATCTACATGTAAATAACAAAGTATTTCTCTTTGTTATTACTATTTATGTATCTGTTTTAAATAATTATGTATTCATTATTTGTTTATTCAAGTTTCTGGGCCATTGGGACATTGACTAAACAGGTTTTTAGAGGTCAAAGGTTAAGAGTTAAGTCTAACTTACTGTAGCTGGAGGAGATAATGACAGGCACTCTGACGTAGCGTCCGCGTTTACGCCACTTGCAGCCTCTGGCAGTGCAGGGGTCTGCATTCCTGTTTCGATTCGGCACAATGTCACCATGTTCCAGTCTCGTTGCTGCAGAATGACAAACAGACAAATGAATCTTCAAACCGGGAATATATAGAGTTTTAGGGCTGAAACTAACATTTCTTTATTAGAAAATTATTGATTAGTCCGTCCATTATTTTATTATTTTCTCTATTATTAATTTTTTCTATAGTGCAATAGTCTTGCTATTGCTTACAAAGATATTAAAGGAAGAAATTTCTCATTTGACGAGCTGAAACCAGCAAATGTTTGGAATCCTTGATAAATAACATCAGCAACATAAACGATTATGTGATTATAACTGTTGACTATCATTGCCATATTGTATTTGTATTTTAGCCAAAAGATTTAGATGAAATAAAACTGTCTTACATATGCCTTCGTTAGCTCTAGCGATGACTTCAGAGACGTCTGAAGACACATCTGGAAGCAAACAGAAAAAACAGCGAGTGTCAAAGACAAGGTGCAGCACTTTAAAATATTCACATCATTCAGATGTGAACTGAAGAGAACATAAAAGATACAATTTTACTTAAATATCTAGAGAATTCTTCATTATTCAACTCACCTGTTTCACCATCCTCATCGGTTGCACCCTGTAACACAGTCATAAAATTGTACATTTTTAAATCGTGTTTTTCTTCTGTTTTATGATGTTATTTGTCAGATTATTCTGCTGCTGTCCAGTGAAAATGTGTTGCTGTTTTTTATTTCATCCATATAAATTAAAGGACAATTCTCCCTCTTAAAAGGCTCATAAAATCCTTTGAAAACCATCTGAATGATCTCAAAAATCTAAAATTAGCATTAACATGTTGGAGATACATGTTTTTTACGGGACAACATGCAGAGTTTAACATCATAATCCCTGTTCTGAAAGAGTGAGATTTACCGGAGGAATGGCCGTCAATGAGAGGAAGAGGAGGAAAAGGAAAGCTGGAGTCATGGTGGTGGTCCTCTTCTTCTAAACTTCAATAAGAAAAGACAAAATCTGAACAGTGTCTGTCAGATTAGTTACCTGAGCTCTGATGCTTGTTGCTGCAGAAGTTCAGCTCCTCACTCTTTATAGGCCGCTCATGCTGGGTGTGTCTGAAGTTTCTCCAATATCTGTCAATCTCAGCTGTCGGTTGAATACTTCTGTGTGATGCTGCTTAATTAGAATGACTGGCAGTGATTCTCCAGGAAGTGAAGACATGCAGTGGTGGAGTAAGTATTCAGATCCTTTACTTTTGTAAAAGTAGCGATACAAAATGAAAGCAAAAGTCCTTATTATGCAGAGAATGTCCCCTTCAGTGTTATATTATTTTTATTATACCCTTTGTAAACTGCATTTAATTGTGGAGGCTGGTTGAGGGGAAGCCAAATTTAACTGCTTTATCACTGTAGTTGTATAATCAATGAGAGAACATCATATTTTGTAAGCTCAGCTCAGTAGGCTTCACATTTTCTATGTAAAAGCCTACACCATGTTTTCTGAAATATAGTCAAATAGAAGTATAAAGTAGCATTAAATGAAAATACTGAAGTAAAGGTATCAGTATCAGATATCTACCAATGGATAAAGAAAGAAAAAGGCAACAGAAACAGGTTTTTTGCAAGTGTTTAAGTTGATTGTCAGTACAGAAGGATGCACTTTAGTGGATGAGTAATTGATGTGACAAAAGGCTGATTGTTCACTTTGGGACAGAAGTGGTTTTGGTGGTAACCAGGAAACATTCATTTATTTATAAAGCTTCCTTTGAAAGGGCCTGAAATTGAACTGACAATTAGAAGTACAAAATATCCAGTACAATAAGGTGTGTGTCGGATTTAGTGGCATCTAGTAGTGTAGACAAACAGATCGCAACTTCCTCGCTTCATCCTCCCCTTCTGAGCGTGAAGGAGAAGATACGGTGGCCGTATAGCTCTGCTATACTAAATTGAACAGAGATGTGTGAGAAACAGGTTCATCGAGATGTAAAGTGACATTACTGGACGACATCGGCATGCTGCTGAACCCAAACTTTAGCAGCAATGTGGTGTGGCTGCATGTTGTTGTGCACACTGTGACATATAGACACTTCAGACTTGCAACACGTTAATACACACATGATACATCAGAATAGATGAGATCAGTGGGGCTTTATTTTATGGGTCCCTTTTTGGTTTAATTTGATTTCTTAGGGATGTGTTCTTGACAACTATGTTACAAACTATGGTACAGATTCTAAAAAGGGAAAACATGATCATAAATTATTTAATTTTGAAAAAAAAGGAAATAGAAAATAGACTTTTTTTGTCAACTGGACAAAATTGGTCAAGAGAATATATTTATTTATAACCAGAAATATTTTCTGTAGTTTAATTCTGTTCCACATCGACCTGAAACAGGACATTACACCTTTAATCAATTTCAAATCTTTAATGCTATGAGCACCACACTCAAAAATCCATTCAGCTCCATTGCACTGGTGTGACAGATTCTAAAAAGGGAAAACGTGATCATAAATTATTTAATTTGTATTAAATGTATTTATTCCAAGTCTAAAAGGCCACACCCACTTCTTGCTAACATCAGGAATTAAATTCAATTCAATTCAATTTTATTGGTATAGCACCAATTTATAACAGAAGTTATCTCAGGAAACTTTTCAAATAGAGCAGGTTTAGACCGAACTCCTTATAGCATTATTTACAGAGACCCAACAGTACCACCATGAGCAAGCACCTGGCGATGGCTGCAAGGAAAAAATTCCTTTAAAAGGCAGAAACCTAGGACAGACCCTTCGGCTCTAGGTGGGTGGTTGTCTGTCTCGACCAGTTGGGGTGAGAGATAGATAGAGAGAGAGACAGAGAGAGACTGAAAGACAGAAAGACAGACAGACAGAGGTGCACAACAACAACAGTAGCAAAAACTTCACTAATAGTAGTGACTGATGATGATGAACTTGAAGAAGATGATGAACATGAAGAAGATGATGACAACGACGACAACAACGATGGGGGACAATGAGCAGTGATTATAGTAATAATAATATCTGTAGTAATAATAATAGTAATAATAATAATAACAATAATATCAGTAACATTAGCAATGGGAGTCAAGCAGGACCATGGCAGGAGGCTCCACCAGGATCCATGAGAACCTGCGAGATGAGAAAGCACAAGAACTCCGGGGAAGAAGTGAAGTTAGTAACATGCATTAATAGAACATGAATGAGTGCAGAAAGAGAGGGAAAGGAAGAGAGGAGCTCAGTGCACCATGGGAAATCCCCCGATAGTCTAGGCCTATAGCAGCATAACTAAGGGATGGTTCAGGACTCACCTGATCCAGCCCTAACTATAAGCTTTATCAAAGAGGAATGTCTTAAGCCTACTCTTGAATGTGGAGAGGGTGTCTGCCTCCCGAACCACAACTGGAAGCTGGTTCCACAGGAGAGGAGCTTGGTAACTGAAGGCTCTGGCTCCTGTTCTACTTTTAGAGACTATAGGAACCACAAGTAGCCCAGCATTCAGAGAACGTAGTGTTCTAGTGGGGTAGTAGGGTACTATGAGCTCTTTAAGATATGAAGGGGCCTGAAGTTAATTGATGACGATTGATAGCAGAAAAATAGTCTAAATATAATCTGATTTTACATTTGTTAAAGTTCCTGAACTTGGAGAGACAGTGATACCTGTTCAGGGGAATTTTGTCTCTAATAGTAACAATTTTATCATAAAAGAAGCTCATGAAGTCATTGCTACTTAGGGTTATGGGTTTATGTGGCTCAATAGAGCTGTGACTCTCTGTCAGCCTGGCTACAGTGCTTAAGAGGAACCTGGGGTTGCTCCTTTCAGATTTCTTCGCTTTTGGCTTTAATTGGCGGGTTTGGTGGTTGTACCACAGTGCTAGTCTCCTATGTTTTAACATTTTCCTCCAGGGAAGCCTGGAATTCCACCTTTCTGGATAGCGGTGTTGATGTATCCATTCTCTGTCATGTACGAGGTCATCCTCTTGGCCAGTATAGAAAAGAAGATCTTGCCTTCTACACTTAGCAGTGAGATTGTTCTGAATTGGTAAATGGTTGAGGAGTTCTCTTCCTTTGGCACGAAACAGCCCTCTGCCTTTTTCCAGCATGATGGAATGGTACCCTTTCTCCAGATCCTCCGGAACAGCTTCCACAGCCTCCGAAGGAGCATTGGACATTTCTTATATACCTTGTATGGTATACAGCTTGGGCCGGGGGCAGATCCTGTTCTGGCCTTCTTCACCACCTCTTGGACTTCCTTCCAGGATGGTTCACTTATGTTGAGCTCTTTTTCCGGGGTCTTTGTGCTGTTGATGCTTGGGTTGGCATCCAGGGCCTGGTTTCTGGAGGTGTCATTGTGGGTCTCCCTCAAGAACACCTCCACATCTTCTCTGGGGCTAGTCAGCCATCCAGATTTTGCTTCACCCAGCAGTGTTCTGGTGAATCGGAAGGGGTCTTTGGTGAACTGGGATCTTTTGTTCTCCCTATCCTTCCTCTTCTTCCTTGATGCCTTCCCTTTCATCAGCTGGGCCCCTTTTCAACTGTTTGGTGAGAGTCTTGATTTCTCCCCTAACAAGATTATCAATTTGGGAGGGACTAAAGTTGTTATAGGACTCTGTTAAATTCAGACGTGGCATTGAATTAAACATTGGTGGACTCTCCTCCATAAATTTAGCTATAGCACTGTCAGATAGGCATCTGCTGTAAGAAGTTTTGCCTTATGGTGTATAATCTGATAACAGAAATTCCAAAGTTATTAAATAATGCTCAGATAGAAAAGGATTTTGTGGGAAGACTATTAAATATTCAATATCAAGGCCATATGATAGAACAAGGTCAAGGGTGTGATTAAAACAGTTGTGTGTGAGTTGGTTTATTTACACTCTGACAGAAGCCAATTGAGTCTATTAATGAGATAAATGTGTTACTAATGCTGTCATTGTTAACATCAACATGAATATTATAATCACCTACAATAATTACTTTATCCAATTTAAGGACTTAACTTGATAAAAACTCTGAGAGTACAGGCCAGGAGTGCGGTACACTATAACAAACAGAACTGGCTGCAGTGTTTTCCAGGTCGGGTGAGAAAGACTAAGAACGAGGCTTTCAAATGAATTATAATTTACTTTAGGTTTAGGGTCAATTAAAAGGCTTGAATCATATATGGCTGCTACTCCACACAACAACATCTTCCGAATCAATAACAATTCATTTAACTTCAATTGGTAATCCTCTCCTTCCACTCCTCTTTTGTAAAAGGCAAAAGACTTGGGCATTATGAATAAAAACCGGAGAAAAGATGGCCCTTTGCTCAAGAGCGGCCAAAGTATAGTGTCGTCCCAGCCACTACACTTGTGGTTAGTCTCCCTCCTTGGCTTATTGCCAAGGCAGGGCCTTTCTGACTGGAGTTTGCATGCTCTACCCATATCTGTCCAGGTTTCCCTCACCATCAAAACACGTGTGTTTGATAAGTCTCAAGTCAATACCCTTGACTTCAGGGGCCGGGACATTCCTACAATAGCCCTGACTTGGAAGTTGCTACAATCAAATCAAAAAACTGATATGAAATCTTACACTGTCAACTGTAGTGTACATTTCTGTTCAAATGATTGAGGGGTACTGCCTCATTTTGGTGGAAATACAACATCACACCTTTATTATTGCTGATTTTATTGAACAAAGCATTTAATTTAGAAATTAATACACAATTGTTGACTCTAAGTCATAAATGGACAAATATCGAGTATAAGAAAACCCCAGAAAGGAACCCCTAACTCAGAATAAAAGAAACACAAAAAATTAGAATACATCTGGCTCAAATGGTCCTGATAATATTGTTATTGGATCATATCAGAACTACCTTCTGGTGTCTGCAGACAATTATCGTAGCTTGCAGTGGTACAACGGAATAAAGTAAATTTGTTACAACTCTGAGGTACTTCACTTTGAGATTTCTATTTTATGCTACTTAATATTTCAACTCAACCACACAGATTTCACATCAACATGATCGTTTTATAAAATGTATTGTCTTGTTACAAATTTAATGCATAGTTTCACTTTGTTTTTGTTTTTTTTTTATCTCTGTGAGCCCTCGCAGTAAAACCATAACCATAACCAAATACAAGTTTCTATTTTAAACCCAAACAAGAAGAAGTGAGTAACTTATTTAAATCATCATCAAGTATAAGTGGTTAAAAGAGATGTAATACCATCAACCTGTTAAAAATAAAGAGGCAAAGCTCTGCCCTCTTTTCAAGCGCGCTTCTGTTCCACTAGCCCCAGCACAAACATTATTCACCAACATTTTCCTTCATGAGTCTTTCTGACAAGCTGAAACAAATTCCTATCTTAGCTGCAGATGCTCAGTCAGAGCTTCCCAGAGTTAGCCCACCATAAGATTCGATTTGGCCCTAGCAAAAAAAATATTTTACTTTTTGGGGGGTAAAAATGCTCTCTAAATATATAGGATCCCTAATTATCAATTATTTTTCATTATCTGAGCTTCCACTTTGAGGAGTCAGTAAAGGAAGCCTGGGATCCTGGTAACATTTTGCATCTTAATACAATACATTAGGTGTTTGCTTTTGGCTGTGGCCCACCAATAAGTTTCAGTTTAGGCCCTCTAAGGGAAAAAAACTGGGATCCCCTATGCTAAATGCGTTTTTTTTACAATTGACTTGTTGCAAATTTGCCTGTCCAGTGTCGTAACGGATACTTAATAAGACTGAATGTAAACAGAAGCTAAGAGAAGTGTGGCAGCACTACAGATCTCTATATCACATATGCACAGGTATGCAGTGCATTTATATATTCAAGACAAGTTTGTGTTGCTTTGAGGTAATATTCTTGCAGTACAACAGATCTGGGCCTTTGGTGAGTTGAAGTATCTGGAGCTTGACCGTTTCCTTCTGTCATTAAATTCCTGGTTGAGATAAAGAATGAGATTGTTATTCATAGAAAAGTAACATTTTAATCCTATTTTAACCCTAATTTCCCCTTGTTTTACTGCACTGTTACACGGTAACACAGTCAGTATTGGGATGTATTAGTAAGGCAGTATGACTTATGCACATAATATAGCATTTATTTTTCACTCACAGCATTGGTAGAGCTTGTTGACACGAGCAATGTCATTGACACTCATGTCAGTGGCCTGTCCAAAGTTGAGGCTTGGATTGCTCTTCGCAATGATGGTTGGCTGCCCGTTTCTGGAGAAGGCGAATCTTGAGGATGACATTTTTGACATCAACATTTTTGTATATAAAGCTATACACACACAAACACCAGTACACAGTCTGTACTCACAGTGTGAGTGCTTGTTTTGATTAGTTTTGATCAAGCAATAATGTAACCTTTTGATTTTCTTTCCTTTGAATACACATGTTGACTTACATTAAAGCAATTATAATAGGTGATATGAATATATATGAATGCACTCATACAATCACTCACTTGCTGTAATGCATGACAGAGTTGAAGTCGTAGGGAGTGCCCAGGTTGTTAGTCCCCACCTTCACAAAGTTTGATTCCTTTCCTGCCCAGGAGGAGAGCAAAATATTGAAATACAGATTGTAAACTTTCTGTTTTGACCTTCAGTAAAAGTTGGTTGAAAATGTCTGTAGTTGTTGCACCTGTGTTTTTCAATGCAACCTGATACATTCAATCAGGTATTGCTGTTCTGGTGCCAAACTTCAAAACAAACCTTTCTGTTTCCTTATTTAGATTTATCCCTGCTAGGAAGAGAGTCTGTTGATCACTTTGCTGAGTTGGTTTATTTTAACTATTCAGTTCACACAGGAAGGCTTAAGGTTATTATAGCTAACTAAAACTAAACTAAAAACTAAAACTTAGTGTGAAAAAAACATTTTAGTTAACTAAAATAAAAATAAAACCTAAACTTTAGAAAAACATTCAAATTAACTGAAACAATGTTGCTTGTACTTGCAAAACTAACTATAATATACAAATAAAGAGGAAATGTATTAAGTTTTAATCAACTTGGTCAAATCTTTCAACCCAACAAGCATGCATCCTCTAACTTTTCATCCAGTGCTTTTGTCCAGTTGGACGAATACCTGCAAAACTAAAGACATTAGTGGCAGTAGCAGTCTGGTCGTTCTGTTATTGATCTAATCTGAGCTATAAATTCAGCCCTCATTGTTCTCATCATTGTATAAGACATAAAACCAGAACAGTTTTTTGTGGGAAAGCTGACCTGGCTGAATGTTCTGGGTGAGGATGGAGACGTATGTGTCCCTGTCGGAGCGGACCTGCTCGTGGTGGAAGCCCAGAGCGTGGAGAACCTCGTGCTGCACTGTGTCTCTGTACAAACAACCATTTTTCCTCAGGGAAACCGGCTGTCCTCGGCTTTGACGGCCCAGGTAGGACCAACATCTGACACACAAAGACACACACACGCAAACACACACACACACACACACACACACACACACACACACACACAAACACACACACACACACACACACACACACACACACACACACACACACACACACACACACACACACACACACACACAGTGAAATCATAGTAAAAAAGGTATTGTTTCTACTATTATAGTGACCACACAGGAAGAAATCACTTTCCTCTCTCTCTTTATAATCTCATCAAACAAGTCCTCCAAATCTAATGACAACATACATTGTTTGGAATTGCTCTCTGGAACAACACAAAAGCAGCACATAGACCTGTTTTCAGTGGTGGAAAGTGACTGTATTTAAATAAAAGATACTTGTTCTGAAGTGGAGCTTTAAGAAGTGGGCACACTCTTAATTTATGCCCCAAATGTTCTTACATTGATGCATCAGTGTATACTTAATAATATCATATATAATAACATTTCAGTCACAGTGGACATTTATTGTTGCGGAGTGAATGTTTTTTTTCTTTTAATACTTTAAGTAATTTTGCTAATGGTGTGTATGTGTGTGTGTGTGTGTGTGTGTGTGTGTGTTTCCTACCCAGTTCCAGAGAAGAAGTGGAGGTAATTCCGATGCCATCGTCGTCTCCAGACAAAGCGAATGCAGGTGGACTGGTGGAAGGTCAGCAGGGCTCTAATGATGATGTTGCGCTCTTCTCTGGCTGCAGAGACAATTAATGTGCATCTACATGTAAATAACAAAGTATTTCTCTTTGTTATTACTATTTATGTATCTGTTTTAAATAATTATGTATTCATTATTTGTTTATTCAAGTTTCTGGGCCAGGTGATATGTATTGTGGGTTTGTGTGTTTCTTATCACCACTGCTAATAATAAGTTCTAATAATCCACGGTATGACAGTGTCTCAGTGGGAGGCAGGCATGTAAAGACGACCTATGCACTCTGAAGTTGATCAACCAGAAGGCAAAAGTTGACCATGACACACTTGAATTGCATAATGAGGCAGAATTGCAATTCAAAAATATAATCAAGAAAACAGAAATAGATACGTTTTGTGGAAAAAATAGGAAGAGAAAATAAATAAATTGAATACATTTTGTTATTTCTGAGTGGAACTAAGCAACAGTGACATTGACTAGACAGGTTTTTAGAGGTCAAAGGTTAAGAGTAAAGTCAGCTTACTGTAGCTGGAGGAGATAGTGACAGGCACTCTGACGTAGCTTCCGCTTTTCGGCCACTTGCAGCCTCTGGCAGTGCAGGGGTCTGCATTCCTGTTTCGATTCGGCACAATGTCGCCGTGTTCCAGTCTCGTTGCTGCAGAATGACAAACAGACAAATTAATCTTCAAACCAGGAATCTATAGAGTTTTTATTATTATTGATTAGTCCGTCCATTATTTTATTATTTTCTCTATTATTATTTTTTTCTATAGTGCAATATTCTTGCTATTGCTTGCAAAGATATTAAAGGAAGAATTTTTCATTTGACAAGCTGAAACCAGCAAATGTTTGGAATTGATCCTTGATAAATAACATCAGCAACATAAACGATTACATGATTATAACTGTTGACTATGGTGTAATGTATTTGTATTTTAGCCAAAAGATTTAGATGATATAAAACTGTCTTACATATGCCTTCGTTAGCTCTAGCGATGACTTCAGAGACGTCTGAAGACACATCTGGAAGCAAACAGAAATAAGAGGTAATCAGAGACAAGGTGCAGCAGTTTCAAATTATTCACATCATTCAGATGTGAACTGAAGAGAACATAAAAGATACAATTTTACTTAAATATCTAGAGAATTCTTCATTATTCAACTCACCTGTTTCACCATCCTCATCGGTTGCACCCTGTAACACAGTCATAAAATTGTACGTTTTTAAATCGTGTTTTTCTTCTGTTTTATGATGTTATTTGTCAGATTATTCTGCTGCTGTCCAGTGAAAATGTGTTGCTGTTTTTTTCATCCATATAAATTAAAGGACAATTCTCCTTCTAAGAGGCTTATAAAATCCTTTAAAAACTATCTGAATGATATTAAAAAAGAAAAAAATAGCATTAACATGTTGGAGATACATGTTTTTTACGGGACAACATGCAGAGTTTAACATCATAATCCCAGTGCTGAAAGAGTGAGACTTACCGGAGGAATGGCCGTCAATGAGAGGAAGAGGAGGAAAAGGAAAGCTGGAGTCATGGTGGTGGTTCTCTTCTTCTAAACTTCAAATCTGAAAAGACAAAATCTGAACAGTGTCTGTCAGATTTTACCTGTTACCTGAACTTTGATTATTGTTTGACCAGCTTTTTATAGGCCGCTCGTGCTGGGTGTGTCTGAGGTTTCTCCAATATCTGTCAATCTCAGCTGTCGGTTGAATACTTCTGTGTGATGCTGCTTAATTAGAATTACTGGCACTGACTCCAGGAAGTGAAGCCGTGTCATGGTATTCAGATCCTTTTTCTTTTGTCCTCATTATGCAGCGAATGTCCCTTTCAGTGTTATATGATTTATACTATACCTTTTGCAAACTGCATTTAATTGTGGAGGCTGGTTGAGGGGAAGCTAAATTTAAGTGCTTTATCACTGTAGTTGTATAATCAATGAGAGAACATCATATAAGCTTATTATAAGTTCAGCACAGCTTTCTATGTAAAAGCCTACACTATGTTTCTGAAATGTAGTCAAATAGAAATATAAAGTAGCATTTAATAAAAAATACCATAAAGTATCAGTATTTCGTGTGACAAAAGGCTGATTGTTGTTGGACGGAAGTGGTTTTGGTGGAAACCAGGAAACATTCATTTATTGATAAAGCTTCCTTTAAAAGTGCCTGAAATTGAACTGACAAATTAGAAGTACAAAATATCCAGTACAATAAAGGTCCAGTGTGTCAGATTTAGTGGCATCTAGTGGTGAAGCTGCAGATTGCAACTAACTGAACACTGCTCGCGTCCGTATTTGACTGGTAATGAGAACAGGAAATGGAAAAAAAAAATCATTCGAAAATGTCATGGTAACAAATTGCATATATCCAATATCCAATATCATTTCCACTGGTTCTAGTATTACGCTGTACTGCAGTTGTGCATGTGGTTTGTCCCCCCAGCAGAAGGCGATGCTCGACTGCTGCAGGAAGGTACAATAAATGTAAAACACTGTACTGTCTCTATGTATGTAGGCTATATCAACAGTCTAATCCTACTGTAGAGACTCCTGTTGGTCTCCAGGCCACAGACCCACAGAACCCTCTGCAGATTTGGTCCACTGCAACCGTGACTCCATGGCTACGGCCTTGAAACATTTCCTTATTTTAATGCTGTAAATGTCAGTGCTTTGTGGTCACTTCTGTATTTGTCATCTTCATCAAATGACACTTTAAGACCTTTCTACATTCGGACGAAGAAATTAAATTAATTAAATCTGACATGTTGATTTGTGATTTTGTCTGTGGCTCACAAACAATGAGGAAGTGAACAAAACAGTAGGGTTAATAGTCAACAGCACTCACGCTCAACAACCAAAACTGCCCCAAACTTGTTCACCAGGAAACACAATGTATGTGTCTTCTGTATAAGTTCATCAAACGGAGACATTCAGGTCAGAAATATGCGGATGCAGTAATTGTCATGCAATCAAGTCAGTTTAATTACTACACAAAGCAGAATGTTTTTCAGTCTGTGATGTGTGAGAAACAGGATCTTCAAGATGTAAAGTGACATTACTGGACGACATCGGCATGCTGCTGAACCCAAACTTTAGCAGCAATGTGGTGTGGCTGCATGTTGTTGTGCACACTGTGACATACAGACACTTCAGACTTGCAACACGTGAATACACACATGATACATCAGAATAGATGAGATCAGTGGGGCTTTATTTTATGGGTCCCTTTTTGGTTTAATTTGATTTCTTAGGGATGTGTTCTTGTTGAGACAACTATGTTACAAACTAAGGTACAGATTCTAAAAAGGGAAAACATGATCATAAATTATTTAATTTTGAAAAAAAAGGAAATAGAAAATAGACTTTTTTGTCAACTGGACAAAATTGGTCAAGAGAATATATTTATTTATAACCAGAAATATTTTCTGTAGTTTAATTCTGTCCCACATCGACCTGAAACAGGACACTACACCTTTAATTAATTTCAAATCTTTAATGCTATGAGCACCACACTCAAAAATCCATTCAGCTCCATTGTAGTGGTGTGACAGAAGAAACCTCAGAGAGGGATAACTCATGAGGAAAGTTATATGAATGCCAAAAAGCAACATATGTAAGCAAGAAAATGTTTTTACCCTCATCTGAGGATCTGTGCAGCCTTGGGTTGGATCTGTTTTTTTTTATAGCTTTGGTACTTTCAATACTATTACATGTTACTATTGTATCATTAGTTTTAAACATGTGGTATTTAAAAAGTATTGATACTTTTGACAACCTTACAGTACATACGTAGTGCAAAAGTCACCAATAATATACTGTTTTCTTAACAAAAAATACTTTTAATGTCAATTGGACTAAAATAACAGGTCAAACCAAATAATGTATGGATGCGAAAATACTTCAATAAAATGTTCAATATGGTCTTGTTTTTATTTGACAGTGAAAAGAAGGTACAATAAGTTTGAAAATAAACATTGTTTTTTCAGTGAAATGCTTCAGGGACCAATCCTGGACATGATGGACTGATGTGCGGCTGTGCAGACGTGCTGCTGATGTGCGGACGTGCTGTTGACAGTAGTGTAACTGGAGCTTTATGTTTAACTCAGTGGTCAACGGACCATTAACACATGGATATTATCTGTCTCAATCTTCTTCAGAGCAGTCTTTCAGGAAGTTTTCCACATAATACAAAGACCTTCTTGTAACCAGTCTTCACTAATCTGTTTAACTGCTGTTCCCGGTTCCTGGTTCATTCATACAAAGGAAAACAATGCAGCTAGAAAATGAAAGGAAAAGAACAAGAAGATTTGTTCTACCCTATTATTGTTCCTACATCATTAAAAATACCAAACTGAATGACAGAGGGGGAAGTAAGCTTTTACACATATCAAATGTCGTGAGAACAAAGTGAGAAATGGTGTCATATGTATTTGAGATGACATGTTCAAAGTCCTTGCAGAGATCTGTCTTGTTTTCACTTGTCATAAACCTATCTATCCCCCCTCCCACTCTGCACAGTTTACCTCGAGGAGCCTTTGCTCATTCTCTCTAAAGCTTCAGTTTTCATACCACAATGCAAGACGTCAACTTTCCACCAGCTAATTCCAGTTACAGGTTTGTCACTGCGAAGAAGATTCATATTGTAGCCCTGGTTTCTGGGTGAGACGGATCAGTGTTTTAAACAGAAACTGTCCTAACTAGAAAAAAAGCAGCGCTAGTTAGTTGTTTAAAAGTGCACATTTTTTACAGTTTTCTGGCCAGCGACCTCTGTGAATAACTCGCTGAATAGCAAAGGCAAAGAAGTAGCATAACATTGTTACACTGCTATAAAGTCAAATGAAGTAGTTATTACCTCCTCTCCCACCAACAGCCAAGGTTGGTTTCGTTGAACCAAGGCCACAAATGTTTCCTTTCCTGAAATAAACCGATTTATTTTTGGCTAAAGCTGAACTTTACACCCACATGTGATAAAACATGTCATTCCAAAACCACAGGCATTAGTGATGGAGTGAAGAACAGCTGTGTGTACTTTGTTTTAAAGGTATCAAGTCTTCTATCAAGAATTAAATCACATTGTGGAATAAAGGTCGAATGTTTAATGCTTTCACTTCCAAACAGAAGTTCTTTTAAAAGAGTTTCTCATCAGTCTATTCGTCTCAGTTGATCTCAGTTTTAGTGATGTTTCCTGCCCAGCAGGTTACAAAGGTAATTGATTCGTAAATTAAACAACGTGTACATTGTTATTTTCTTCAAAGTACATTACATGCCTAATGCTTAGGAATACCAGTGTCTGGAAACGTGTAGGTGTGTGAGACACAAGGACACAAGGGCGTAGGCTTAATTACGTTTGGGCATTTACGCTGGTACTGTGGAATTACATTTTCTCTCCAGTGGAGTTGCGTGATACAGGAACCCTTTCACTTCCCGCCAGCCCAAGGAAACATACCTAAGATATTGTATTTAATTTCAGCCAGTAAATCCTCCTAAATGTTACACACTGGTCCTTGAAAGATGTTACCTATGAGTACATTTCTGTTTGGTTCTGGTAAATGCTGCATGTTAATGTTATGTAAGTTTGTGTGACAGGAGTAAGCTGACTTGTCAGTGAGGTATTGGTCACAGGGTGTTTCAAATAAGCTGCTTTACTGACAAATGCTTGTGACTTTCCACTTCAAAGTTGCCTGAATGTCACATGTCATCCTCACAAGAAAACAACAGAGAACACTGTATTAAGTGACCCTGTTGGATAAAAAAGTAGGTAATTACCATATATCTTGTAAAATATTGCAGATAAAATACTTAAAGGATATTATTTGTCGATATTTTAACAAGATGGTTTGATTCAGGCACTACTGGAGTTCTATTACACTCAATATGTCCTGGATATTTGGCACCAGCCATCAGCCACTGTGTTCTCAATTACATGTTAATGGTAGCGTGCATCAAAGCCACACATTGTTCATGTGATACAGGTTCTACATGAGTTTTAACTCTGTTTGAAGGGAAAGCGAGTTATCTGTGCAATCTCCAGTAAGTTCCACTGGGTTTGGTGAAACTTGTTTGAATGAGTGTCCTTTATAATTAAATACTGTTCATTCCCAGGTCAGGTTTGTGGGTTTGTTTTCATTGTTTTTTTTTTTATTTTATTTTTATTTTGATGTTTAAAACTATGAGCTGTGCTTGAAAAAACTTGAAAAATGGCCGGTGACAAATGTGGACAACGATTAAATGAAAATTCCAAGAATCCCTGAAGTAATTGTGTCCTGTGCGGCATCTAATTTTTATTTATTTTACTTTATTCAACCAGATAAGTCAATATAAAATCAGTTCTCATTCACAGGCTGTAATTCCACGGTTGTTGTTTTTTTTGTGTATGCTCTTCTCTACTGGATTATAGATAAGCTTAAGAAATACATATAGGCTATAGGGTCCTATAACTGAACTAAAGTATGTAGTTGACTGAAAAAAACGTATTAACTTGATTGAATTGAACTGAACTTGGGTCTGAGGAGGAAATAAACAAATTTAATAATGAGGGTGTTAAAGCTGCAGTAGGTAACTTTTATAGAAAATTTACTTTTTGTTATGTTTGTTGAAACTTTCACTGCATGCTGAAAGTTGTACATGAGACATCTGTGAAAAAGATTCCTCTAGCTCCTCCTACTGCTCCTGAAGACACTGGCAAAGAGACCCAACAATCAACAATCTTCAAGCCACCAGCCCAAATTGTATTTTCTCTTTTTTTCTACTTTCTTAGCTCTGATTGGTTGTTTTCTTTTGGGTACTGCGTGTTCTTGCAAATGCCTTTAGGAGCACTAGGAGGAGCCAGAGGAATCTTTTTCACAGATTGAGAGAGATCTGTCTGGTGTATTACTGTCAGGATATAGTGTAATAAATCTAAACAAATATGACAAAAAGTTAGTTTTTATAAAAGTCACCTACTGCAGCTTTAACAGAAACTGAAGGGTGGAAAGGGGGGAAATTAATTTCTTCTTCTTGGGGGTTGGTATTCAGATAAAAAACGAGTTTAGGTTCATTTATTTTATTTTAAAGGATCTACATTTTTCCCATTTAGGCAATTTAAGTGAACTGTGTGAAAGGTGGCCCAAGACTTAAGATACTGGTCCATAACTATTTCACCATAACCAATAGTTACACTTATTGTCTAACTCACAAATGCAGAAGGCCATCGGGAACACCGGGACATTTCCCGGTGGCCTGGCCGCCGAACTGGCCCGCTCGGCGATTGCTGATGGTCGGGACCAAGCCATCAACAGACGCACAACCAAAGCCTATCCAGCACCACTAGACTCTCTCATGCTGCACTATAGAAAAAAACTATCATACAGTGCTCTCTACTGGCCTTAGCAGTGTATAGCACTGAACAACAGTTAAAGGGAAAATCCACCCATTTATTTCAGATTATTACTGTTATGGTTTTGGGTTGTTTTGTAATCCTCCTCCTCTTAGGTCTTGTTTTACTTCACTTTTACTCCCATCGCCACACTCCTTCTCGAAGCCTCCGCTCTTCTGATGCCAACCTCCTATCTCCACCACTGAGGACCAAGCATCGTACCTGGGGCGACAGAGCCTTCACTATTGCTGCCCCTTCCCTCTGGAACTCTCTCCCCAAACAAATCCAAGACTGTACTGATCCATCCAACTTCAAATCCACGTTTTCAGAACTGCTTTTAAAGATTTTAACAATAAATTATTGTTGAATGTTGTAGATATAGCTATAACTTCTTAGTGTGTTGTTTTTAGCTTTTTCTTTTCCTTTTTAACTCATGTGAAGTGTCTTTGAGTTTCTTGAAAAGTTAAGAAAAATAAATGTATTATTATTATTATTATTATTATTATTATTATTATTATTTATTACTTCCTGTCTTTGTCTGTTTTCCCTCCAGTTTTGATTATCTGCCCCATCCTGAATATTTTCACCTCTCTCTCATTATCCTCCCCCTCACCTGTGTGTCTTCAGTCTTTGTGTTTCCTTGTTTGTTCTTTAAGTTCCTGCTTGGATTGGCCTTGTTGGATTTTTTGCCTTTGTGTTCCACCCTTTATGCTTATTTTACTCTAAATGTGACCAAAATTTATAAAATGAACATAATGTTGTATGAAAGAAGTCTAGGGATTGAGACCATAAACACATTAGGAAACTGAGGTAATAAATCAAGTAAGCTTATAGGCTGACATACAATCAGGGTTCTTTTTGCAGACAGTGGAGTCACCACCTGCTGGCCATTAAAAATAATACAGGTTTGAAGCACTCCAGGGGGTCTATATGTGAGATTTCCACTCTTGATATAAAAATACTGATCAATGTAAACATTTAACACATTTCCCTCTACTACATTTTAAACCCTAAACATAGTTCTTAGTCCTAGCCAAGGTTTCACTTTACAATGTGATTTCAGTTCTTTTAACTTGATCTTGGTGTCAGTCTCTGTTGAGAGCTCATATCAATCACAATTTCTTTGAGCTCTCTTTACAGTGAAACATCTATACATATGGTACAGATAGATATGGATCTAGTAACTTCTTCATAAATCTACATAACACACTAAAGCACAGTCATTTAGTTAATCAATCAATAATTTTATTTTATTTGTCCATAAATGGAAATTGGTTGTGCAGCAGTGAAACATAGAAGATAATAGCACAAAGCACGTGATCACATAAATATACAAAATTTAAAAAAAAGCTGAACTGATTCTCAACCCCCACACATACAATATACACATGCAACCTGTAAAGATATGTAACAGTTTCAATATTAAGTATTAAATACTTTGCTCAAAGTAAAAGAAGTTAGTAGTTTTATGTTGCTGTGCAGATTTGTAGATAAATACTGTACTTAAACTTAACAAAAAATAAGATTGAGGTATATGCTAATAGGTTAAATGTATTTCTTCAAAAGTAAAATTAGACAAAAAACATCATGTTTTGATTATTTTTCTTTTCTCTTTATTAGTTGATATTACAATTTAATATATTTGCTTCAGAGAGGTATTTGTGTACTTGAGATGTCTTTTGCACTTATTGGCATAGTTCCCTACAGACCGCTACCTTCCACTATCCACAAAAAGTTGCAAGGCAAGCTTTTACAGTCCAATGTCAGTTGTTCTTACAGTAGGAATTACAGCCACGGAGCCAACATTTATTAATTTTTCAAACCAAAACTGCCAAACTGCAGATTCAATATCATTCATACATTATTGAGAAATATAAACATTATACAAATGCCAGTCTGTAAGTGTGTTTTTAAAAGCTTTTTAAATTGACTCAGCTGACCTGATACTGCAGGGGAGTTTGTTGCACAGCTTTGGAGCTAAGACAGAGAAGGGACTTTCATCAGATTTTGATGAGAGGTGTAAAGTGCAGCCAGGTCATGTATGGATTTAAAAGTAATCAAAATAATCTTGAATTGAATTCTAGTGGATGGCCAGAACTGGAGTGATGTGTGTGAGTGTTTTGCTGCTGCATTGTGAACTGACTGTAGTCGGGCAACTGCTGTGTTGTTTAGACAACTAACAAATCTACATAACACATTAAAGCAAAGTGAAAACCCATTTTTATATGGCTTCTTTAAAACAGCCAGGGTGCCTCAACACGCACTCTGGGAACCACTGTTCTACACAGCAGACAACATTCAATCTTCAGTTTGTGACAAAGTGAGTGTGGAGCCAGCCACAAACTCACTCGATAGTCCAAATCCAAATGCAGGGTAGAGGGGTTCGGTGAATGTGGAGTGGAAGGTGTGGAGGTGGATATGTTCAATCCAAGAGACAGTGGATGGAAGGCAGTAGAAGGACACAGTTCCAGCAGGCCAGTCCACATACACTGCTACCTTCTTAGAGTCAGAGGGTGGATGTGTAGCTATGTCTTTTGGTCTGTTATTGTGCCAGGCAGTGAAACCCTGAGCAGAGCACATCAGACTCCAGGACTGATCATTCCATCCAAGACAGCAGTCATTACTGTCACCTCTCCTCTTGATTCCTCTGTATGTCACACCTATATTAACTCTTCCTTTCCACTCTACCTCCCAGTAACAGCGTCCAGTCACACCTTCGCTACACAGCAGTTGTGTCCAGTTGTCAAATCTCTCTGGATGATCAGGATACGGCTGCTTCTCTGTCACCACCATCACTCGTCTGTTGTCATCAGACAGTAAGAGGTTCCTGTTTGCTGTGTTTGGGTCCAGTAGAAGCTCACAGAAATCTGATGGAGGAAACCAGGAGACAATATGAAAGCAGTGTGTAATCTGATAATTTGGTTATTGATATTGTGTAACTTTCTTCCACACAAACTACGTCAGCTAACACGGCTGGCTCTCTATATAGTATAACATGGGTTGACCACTGTCCTACATGAAGCAACAGACTGAACATTTGCTTTAAGCAGTTAGACTTCACACAGACCAATAAGGAACAGCGAAGGATGACCACTCACTGATTTCATACCCTCATAGCCCCCAGTGCAAGCCATCCATCCACCTGCTCAATACTGGGTTCCCAGGTTAAAGTCCCCTGTATAGCTCCATCCATTCTCTCTCTCACACTGGAGCCATCAGCAGCATTGCTGCCAGCCACCACCATCTTTTTCTTTTGTCTTGACACCTTGCTTTGTAAATCATAGGTGTTCTTTGACTCCTCTATGTTGAATCCCTTAAGCCAGGGTCAATTCAATTCAATTCAGCTTTATTTGTATAGTGGCAATTCATAACAAAAGCTATCTCAGGACACTTTTCAAATAAAGTGGGTCTTAACCATTCTTCTAAAACCATTTACAGATACCCAACAGTTCCCACCATGAGCAAGCACTTGGCAACGACGGCAAGGAAAAACTTATTTTTAAGAGGCAGAAACCTCAGACAGACCCCGGTTCTAGGCGGTGGCCGTCTGCCTCAACCAGTTGGGGGTTAGAAAGAGGCCATAACACAAGCTTTCAATGGATTAAATCTTCCCTGCTCTCTGTCCTGGTGAAAGCCATGGGGGAGTTCAATTGTATCACCATGGATTCCATAGCTTGATCAAACTGTAGGAAGCCTAAATGCTCAAATACAGAAGGTCATTCTTGCTACCTGTATGGAGGGCTTTTGGAAACTTGTAGAAGTGGTCTAACATGAACCCTGCATGACAGGTACCCTTCAGCCCCTGCCTCTGACTGTCACTCTTCCTTGCAGGAGAGATACACGAACATAGAATAGGTAGAATAACCTGATAATTCTCTCCAGTGACACAGATGATCCAATCCAAAATTCCATTTAAAATGTGATATTATACTAACAAAGCAAAACGGTAGACATCTCATCTCAACACAAAACTCAACACCATAAGCTTTGAACCACTGCCCACATCTCTGATTTGTTCAGTGATTAAAAAATATGTGGTGCTGTGCAGACTGACAACACGATCAATGCATAAACTCAACTTCATATCTACCGTAGTGCAATATGTTTTTGCCGGCATGGTGAAGTCATGACCTGCCAAACTCTTCTGATTGGCTTACTGTGACTTCCTTAACCTAATCCTAAACAGTCTCAGTCCTCATGCCTAAACCTAAACAACAAGTACTTGGCAGTCAGTGGTGGAGTTGGGTGGGCTGTGACTTCGCCACCCTTGGAAATAAAAGTGGGCATGCCGCACACACAAAAGTTGTCAGTCTTCTCATGTAAATCTCGACAAGAAAATTAATGAGAATGTTCAATTGTTCAAAAAGCAAACCTTTTTTTCACATGAGGATTTAATCAGTAGTCAGATCAGTGACAAATGTTTGACTTACCCCTGAGGGGTGATGGTTTTAGTCGACACGCTCCGCAATGATCAATCCTGTGGAGAAGTTAGGAGTTGTCAATAACAGAGAAAGAAAAATAAACAAAGACACTAACACATATACAACAGACAAAATATATCTGTACAATCATATAATCTACTCTACTTGAGAGTTTCCAGTTTGCAGTTTGGGTCATCCTTTGCAGCGGACAGCAGATTCACTCCTGAGTCTCCTGGATGATTGAAGCTCAGGTCCAGCTCTCTCAGATGGGAGCGGTTGGAGTTCAGAGCAGACACCAGAAAAATACATCCTTTCTCTGAGACCTGACAGTCTGACAGCCTGAAAGACACAGACACAAATCTTAATGTTCGACTGATACCTTTATTAATCAATAATCTTGAACTCAATAAGTCAGTCAGATACAACATCTGCATGACTACAGACCCTGCACCAATCTGCCTGTCAATTCAATGCTCCCTCTTAGCAAAAAGTTAGACTCTTTCATGAACAGAGATGAAGCCTGTCAATTCTTATTTTAATGCTAATCTCAAATATCTTTAGAGGTAATTTTGGTTTTATAAGCATAAGCCAAAAGTAAACAGAAAACAGAATCCTAGAGAGGTTAGTTATTAATCTATTTAAATGATAATCTTGTCAATACTAACCTCAGTATCTCCAGTTTACAGTGTGGACTCTTGAGTCCTGATGACAGCAGCATTACTCCTGTATCTTCCAGGTCATTGTTACTCAGGTCAAGCTCTCTCAGGCTGGAGTTCTTTGAGGTCAAAACTGAGACCAGAGCTTCACAGCTTCTCGATGAGAGTTTACAGCCACTCAACCTGAAAGTGAAAACATTTAAATATAAAGTGTTTCTTTGTTTTCTGCTATTGAAATTATTTTACACATTTTATGTTTCCATGTATCTGTACACCTACAGAGATGTTTTGGATGCTTTGACCACAGGTAGCAACCGCAGAAGTCCCTCCTCTGAAGCAGAGAATTTCTTCAGGTCAAACTTCTCTAGATCTTTTTGTGATGACAATAAAATGAAGACGAGTGCTGACCACTGAGAGGGAGAGAGCTTGTTCTCAAGGTCACTTCCTGATTTCAGGTACTGTTGGATCTCCTGCACTAGAGAGTGGTCGTTCAGCTCATTCAGGCAGTGGAACAAATTGATGCTGCTCTCTGGAGAAGGATTGTCCCTGATCTTGTTCTTGATGTACTGCACCAGCATCTCTTTGGCCTGTGGTGTACTTCCTGTGGTTTTCAGCAGGCCTCGTAGGAGAGTTTGATTGGTCTCCAGTGAAAGACCCAGGAGGAAGCGGACAAACAAGTCCATGTGTCCATTTGGACTCTGTAAAGCCTTGTCCACTGCCCTATGGTAGAAGTGTTTGAAGTTAGGATGTAGTGACGCAGGCCGCACTGAGTTGAATGGGCCTCTTCTCAGTAGATCAACACCAGTGTTGATGAACATCAGGAAGACATAGAGTGCAGCAAGGAACTCTTGAATGCTCATATGGACAAAGCAAAACACCTTGTCACGGTTCAGCCCAAACTTATCGTCTAAGATCTCTGTGAATAGTCCTGAATAAACTGAAGCAGCTTTTATGTCAATGCCACACTCTTTCAGGTCTTCTTCATAGAAGATCAGGTTTCCTTTCTCCAGCTGCTCAAAAGCCAGTTTTCCTAGAGTGAGAATGGTCTTCTTGGTTTCTGCATTCCAGACTGGATCAGTCACCGTACTGCTGTGATACTTCATATTCCCCTGTTTGGTCTGAACCACCAGGAAGTTGATGTACATCTCAGTCAGAGTCTTGGGAAGCTCCCCTCTCTCTTTGGTTTTCAACACATTCTCAAGAACTGCAGCACTGATCCAGCAGAAGACTGGGATGTGGCACATGATGTGGAGGCTTCGTGATGTCTCGATGTGGGAGATGATTCTGTTGGCCTGCTCCTCATTTCTGAATCTCTTCCTGAAGTACTCCTCCTTCTGTGGGTCACTGAACCCTCTTACATCTGTCACCATGTCAATGCATTCAGGCGGGATCTGATTGGCTGCTGCAGGTCGTGTGGTTATCCAGAGGCGTGCAGAGGGAAGCAGTTTCCCCCTGATGAGGTTTGTCAGCAGCACTTGGACTGAAGTCGACTTTGTAATATCAGTCAGGATCTCACTGTTGTGGAAGTCCAAATGAAAGCGACACTCGTCCAGACCGTCAAACATGAACACAACCTGGAACTCTTCAAACCTGCTGATTCCTGCTTTTTTGGTTTCAGTAAAGAAGTGATGAAGAAGCTCCACCAAGCTGTACTTCTTCTCTCTCAGCAAATTGAGCTCTCGGAAAGTGAATGGAAAGATGAACTGTATATTGTTGTTGGCTTTGTCTTCAGCCCAGTCTAGGATGTACTTCTGCATTAAGACTGTTTTCCCAATGCCAGCCACTCCCTGTGTCACCAGAGTTCTCACTGGTTCTTCTCTGTCAGGTGAAGTTTTAAACACATCCTCACATCTGATAGTTGTTTCTGAACTTGATGGTTTTCGTGATGCTGCTTCTATCTGTCTGACCTCATGCTGGTCATTGACCTCTCTACTCTCTCCCTGTGTGACATAAAGCTCTGTGTAGATCTGATTCAGAAGTGTTGGGTTTCCTGCTTTGGCATTTCCCTCAAACAAACACTGAAACTTCCTCTTCAAGTTAGACTTTAGTTTACGTTGGCAATTTGCAGCAAGAGTTTCTGAGGAAACAACAGATGACATAACTTAATTGATTTTGAGGTAAATATACGAAATGACAACCATTTTTAAAGCTCTGGTTGTGCTAATGACACATTTCATTGATTAGCTTAATTTGAAATAGCAGTTCTTACTGCAAACAGATAACAATAGATATTCCATATATTATTCCATATTTCAAGGAGCATGCCAATCTCAATAGAATCTTACTGCTCTGCAGAGAGTCAGCCATCTGCTTCTGGTTCATTCTCCTCAGGAAGTTCAGTGTGATCTTCAGAAATGCGTCTCTGCTGCTGTTTCTCTGCTGTTCTTCATCGCCCACGACTTCCTCATCTTCTCGCTGCTTCTCAGAGCATTCAGGATCTTCTGGAGCCAGAAGTTTCTTGAAGTTTTTCAGTTCATTTTTTACAAAAATCACCATGTTCTTTTCGAGCCGCTAGAAGAGTAAAGTGGATCAACAGAGAACATAAATTTCCTTTGCATTTGTTGAAAGCTGACTAAACACGAAGACTGTTTTGCCTTGTGTGAGATGTTTTCCTCTAAAAAAAATTTTTTTTCTCAATTATACTGCATTACATTTCTGCCTCCCCGATGCCTATAAAGCATCTATAAGCACAATTTTTAGTCCTAATTTTGGGATTAGGAGTTTTTGAAGGATGATATGTCAATCTTGTGATCACAGCATGTTCCTTAGGTTCACATTAGTTATTGCAGGTCCAACAAGTGCTGCCCTGACAGCAGCCTCACTGTTGTTTATCAGCTAATAGAGACTAGATACATCTGCCTCCTCATGTGACACTTTACAGTGTGTCGTAATGGAAACTAAGCCACTTGGATCTCAGCCAACACATGAACAGTAAACTACTGACAGGTTATAAATGTGCGAAAGTGCTTTGAATGAGAGACAAAACAAGACTACACAGGGGTTCAGTTGCCTGTAAATTGATGTTGATTTTTAACATGTTTAAAACTGGATTAAATTCAGACAGAACTCACAGCATTCGTTTCTTCTAATCCACACCCACAATTCAGTTTCACAACACAAATAAACACAAGTAAAAAGTTGTACGTTTACATACCATAAAAATGGAGTCCAGGTTTGTTTGATGCTTCTGGGCAGATCGATCACAGAGAACCACTGACCTCTTCCGGTGAGCTCTGTACGCCCAGAAAACATGAATTAATTTCACATGTGTGCAAATACACACTCAACAAACTCATACTAATGTTATGCTGTTAGCACTATTACACAATAGCCAGTGCCATAGCCTGACATTTCTAGATTCTGATTGTCTGGAAGATGTGGATTTTTGGAAAAAGCACCCAGCTATGATGCAGGTGTTTGTAAATGAATGCACCAATATTAAACTGCAGGTAAAGACAGTAACAGTGAGGCTTAGCTCAAGGGCCTGGGGCTGCAGTATTTGTCTAATCAATAAAAGACATGAACAACTGCTCAGTGAGAACCACTGCATTTTATTTCACTTATTTTGTGAACCTGAACATCCAATTCAAGGAAAGAGAGGAATTTTGAAATAACTTTCTATTTCCCTTCTGTTTAGTTAGATTTTTCCTAGAATCACAAATGACAAACCTTCAGAAGTTTAGAAACTGTATTTAATTATATGTAAAACAGAGAGACAAAGATCAAATCCAGTTATAGTATAGATGATCGACGGATATTTTTATTTTGATGTCTTATTGTGTTTTTTTTTTGTCATTGTGGCCATTGAATAAAACAAATAAAATCTGACATGTTTTGTCCGTCCCATGATTATAATGGAGGACGAAGGGAACCACCCGACACAAAGGACCCTGTAGGTCATATCCGCACACAGTTTTGAAATAAATGGTTTGGTTGTTTGTGGAGACCAGTCTCTGTCCCTATATACAAAGTAGATCCCCATAATATGGCTGTGTGAACAGACTTGTGATTAGTAAGTACATCCAATATCTCTACCCATAATAAGGTTGTGCAGAAGCCTGGAGCCCCTCTTAGCTCACAACTGCAGCACTGTAGAGAGGCCAATAGACCTTTTTCACAGCAACCATTTTGACATTAAATAGTAGCGTAAACAGGTGTTACCACCAGTAATGAAGAATTATGATTAATAATTCTGTTATGTTGTGTTCCATTCAGGTCCAACAGAGTCAGGGTGCTGTTATTTGTTTGCTCACAGAAATGGCTCTGCTACACTAAATGAAACAGAACTTTAATGTGTATCTTTGGTAAAAGCTGTGTTTATTCCCTAATGGCTGCTGAGAAAGTTTTCTCTTACTTTACTGGCACGTCTTTGTATTGTTAGAGGAAATGCATGCTTGGAAAAGAATGCTGACCTTCAGGTAGGTGCCAGTAACCAACGTCAAACACAATACAGGTTTTTCCGTGACTGACTTCCTGGTTGTCAATATGAATTTAAAAAATAAAAATAAAAATTTAAATAAAAGAACAAATAAAAATTCAACATTCAGATTCCAGGTCATGAGCTGAACTCCCCTCTCCTATCAATAATGTGTTTTTGCTCAGTGGTGGTATGTAACTAGGTATATTTAGTGATGTACTTAAGTACAAAACTGGGGTACTTGTACATTCACTTTACTTCAGTATGTACATGTTATGCTACTTGTACTTAACTACATTTCAAAGTGAATATTGTACTTTCTACTCCAGTACATTAATCTGAAAACTGTTGTTACTAGTTATTATTTAAGATAACAATTTTTATGAATGACAGTGAAACTACAGTATAAAGAGGAATGCAATTAAAAAATATACATATATATTAAATACATGTAATAATTATTGGTTTTGCTACTTTACTTTACTTTTTAGTAAAAAACCTGTGTACTCCTTCCACCACTGCTTTTACTTCACTTTGATATTTGAGCTTCACTGTCCAGAATAATGTATGTGCTCTATTTGACAAAAGCAGGCTGTTTTACATTTGCTGAATTGGTTCATTTGGTGAATGAACATGATTTTTGACATAATATTTACTCTTAAAGCCAAAGCTCTTACACAAGTGTGATGAAGAAACTTGAAAAATCCAGCGTACATACAGTTCATCTGGAGGTCCGTGGATTCATACAATAACATACTCGTACTTAAAATTCTTACCTTATTGGCTCAACAATCGGCCCTTTCCCCTTGAACTCAATGGGCTCGTCCCTAGATTTGTCACTGCTCATAGACATAAAGCGTACAGGTGGGTCTGGTCTCTCCTGGTTCACTTGACTTCAACACAACATAAACATTCAACATTCAACTCAAAGATGTTTTAAGACATATATATATATATATGTACTATATATACACCACAATTTGTGAAAGCAAAGAAAAATCTATCAATCAGGACAAGTAACAGTGTATACTTTTGCACCACGGGATCATTGTAAACCTAAATGTAAATGGAGAGCTTTTTGTAAAAAATACCATTATACTGTGGTCCTTATTACGCAAGTTAGTAAAAGATCATGCTTCATCCCAATCCATTAAGTTCTTACATTTAATTAGCTCTCTTAGCTATTTGCTAAAGTGCTGTGCTTAAGTTCAAAACTGAGGTACTTTACTATGTTACACTTCAACTTCACTACATTTCAGAGGGAAATATTGTACGTTCTTCAGCTAATAGTTTCCACTTACTTTAAATATAACAATTTATACTTCAAACTTATGACCATTTTATAAAATATGCAATCTTACACATGAAACTACCCAACAGTATAAACATTCCTCTAAGCTTAAATGTAAATGCTTTTGAAAGGTCATCCCAGATCATTAAATTCTTACACTGGCTTGTCCAAGTGGTCTCCATCCTTGAAAACAACAGGCTCAAACATAGACTGGTCACTCTTCATGGACACACAGCTGGGCACAGGTGAGTTTGGTCTCTCCTGCTTCACTGGGCTTCAACATAAACAGTAGAAGCTGATTGTGGAGCTGAGTTCTGAGATAGTGAACAGTCAATAACAGTCAGATAGTTGTTTATCTTACTTCTCAGCTCCAGTCTGGCTGTTGTGTTTCTTAAACACTTCAGAGGTACCGACCCCATCCTCACTCTCCTCAGACACATTCATGGTGGAGTGAACACCTTTACAGAAACACAACAAGCTGGACTGATTGGTCACAGAAAGAGGATATGATCACCCCTATCAGCAGTAAGTCACATACAGTCAAACAGTTAAGGATTCTTACCTGCCAGAAACTCACATCCAGATCAGACTGAAAAACACTGTAGCAAACAGTTCTTATTCTCCATCTGAGGGTTACTGTGTGTGACTGATCTGTTTCTTTTCTCCAAGCTGCAGGTACAGATTTACAAACCAGTTCAACCAGTAGCAGAGTACAAATCACATGACATAGGTCTGCTTCTCCAGTAGATGGGGATAATTGGCCTCATCTGCACTTACCCTAACATTAACCACTGTCACTTCCTGACATTTGATCTTGTCTTACAGGTCCTAAACACAATAAGCGTGCCCTGCCCTCTTTCAAAGTTGTTGTTCAAAGTTTGAAAGAGAATGGGAAAAAGTCTATTGTGTTACTTTTATTAAACACACACAGTCCTTATAAAGCAGATCAGGTTTTTAAGTGTTCTAACTCCTAATCACTAACCAAGGATGTTTATTTTCCCCAGACTTTAACTTTTATAATCGCTTATTTAGTCATGAATGTTTCATTTTAAATATGCCTTGTAGACCCAGAAAAAATAAACTACCATCATTGATATAAATGACATAGACAAAATATTAAACTTCTTTTGGTTTAACACAACATAATTCAACACTAGAGACTCCACAGTGGTCAGAAAGTGGTATGACCACTGGTCACATTCTTATCTTGGCTAAGCTGCAGTGGTCTCTCTTCATGGACGTTGTTTACAGTGTTGCTCAGTGGAGAAAGTCATAAATCATTGAGGAATAATGTAACATAATGCAATTCAGAGCAGGAATGAAGAAAAACTAAAAAGTGGTTTAGCTGAAAAGAAAATACGTTGTTACACAGGTGTAATAAAGTCTGGAGTATGCCAACAGAATCAATGATCAGAGTTTAATTATAATACATTAATAAGAAGATGAATTTAAAAAGTAATTATCAAGTGATTCATTACACTTGCATCTACATTATTAACAATTTTTCCGCAGTTTGTATTACAAGATTTTTGGTAATGTCTTCTTTTCCTTCTTCCTGTAAACACACCAACTCATTAACTCTGCAGCTCTGTGGAGAATTTTAGTGTCATTCAACTCGTGTTTTGTTTTCAAGTCTGCAGCTCTGCTCTCAGCAGGCAGCTTACTGCAGTGGAAAAGCTCAGAAAAAATGCCTGTTGCTGAAAGTGATAAGGACTGAATGTTTGAATTGTCCAGGATCGCAAGATTTTGTGGCCTGAAGCAAAACTAAAGCTACTGTTGCTCTGCACCTGCTGCATGTGTGAACAAGGAGCTTCATAATGTTATAATATATCATCTGTTTGTTAAGTTTGTACATGCAGTTTTAATCTATTCAGAATTGTTTGTAAAATTGTTTGTTGGGGCATAATGCTCATTATTCAAAAGTGCTCACTGTTGATTTTTTCATGACATAGTTGTCATGAGTGGATGGAGTAAGAAATAAGGAATACTTCACTCAAAATGCATAATTATGTAGTTGTCTCATCCTATAATCTGTGGGCCAGTATTGATGCAAAATCTACACCTCTTCTGTCGCTAATATTAATTTTATAATGATCCTTACTCCCTGAAGTCAAGCTGAAGAAGTTACGTGACAATGTGCAAATAACATTAAGTATAAGTCCATTTTTTGGTGAACTAAATATGCAGGAGTGGTCCTGAGACTGTTTATAACTCAGGGTGTTTCTCTTTTGCTGGACGGGCCACTTTAAGAAAATTTGGGGCATACATTCAGTAGAGTAGTAGACCCACTTCTCCACACCACTGCATAAATACATGTGCAACCTGGGACACATCTATCTATCTATCTATCTATCTATCTATCTATCTATCTATCTATCTATCTATCTATCTATCTATCTATCTATCTATCTATCTATCTATCTATCTATCTATCTATCTATCTATCTATCTATCTATCTACATTTTCTGGCACAGATTTGTACTTTGTCACTAGTTGAACTGGTTTATGAATGTGAAACTAAAGCTAGCAGGGCGTAACAGAAATAAATCAGACGGAGACGGAGGATTGTTTTCTGTTCTCATGCTTTTTCACAGTGTTTTTTAATCTGATCTGGATTTGAGTTTTCTGAGTAAGAATCCTTAGCTACAGTGTAAGTGTTGTGACTTACTGCTGATAATGGTGATCATTTTAATGGAGCTCTTACTGTGACCAATTAACCCAGCTTGTTTCTGTAAAGGTGTTCACTCCACCATGAATGTGTCTGAGGAGAGTGAGGACGGGGTCGGTACCTCTGAAGTCTCTGAGAAACACGACAGCCAGACTGGAGCTGAGAGGTAAGATAAAGATCTCTCTGACTGTTATTGACTGTTCACTATCTCAGAACTCAGCTCCACAATCAGCTTCTACTGTTTATGTTGAAGCCCAGTGAAAGCAGGAGAGACCAGACTCACCTGCATCCAGCTGTGTGTCCATGAAGAGTGACCAGTCTAAGGAGGGGCCTCTTGACTTTAAGGGTGGAGGCCACTGTGATAAGCAAATGTAAGAATTTAAAATGTATTGTTATTGTATGACTTCACTAAGCAGCACTTAAGATTTGAATCAGAATTGTGAAATTTACTAATATTAAATTCATAACCTGTATTTTCAATGTTGTGTTGAAGCCCAGTGAAGCTGAGTAGTAACGTCCTGTATAGTCTAGTTGCCACAGCTCACGGTCAAGAAATAGTCTGATATGTAACCGCCATCAAACACCGATTTGTAGGTTTTAAACTTTATCTTTTGTATGGATTAAACAAATGAGATATAACATGTTAGCTGCTGAGCATTAGAGAGACTATGAAGCAGATTTTGTTATCATTGGAGAGCTGACATGAGAGTTGTATGAATCTTCTTGTGTCCATGCTAGAGAGCAAATAAGTGTATTTCCCAAAATACTATTCCTTTAAAGCAGGTGTTTTGATTGGTGCTTAGAGCTCAACAGATTTGAGTTCAAGAAATAATTGTGAAGTCCCCCTCCACTCAAAAATGTGTTTTACTGTTATTAGTTTGACCTTCTCTGTGCAGAATGATGTATCTGTATCAGTCAAATGTAAGTAGCTTAAACTGATGAAGAGCACACTTTCCAGTGTTAATTTTTGATGGAAATTTATGGAGTTAATGCTATATCCGTAAAACGTCCCAAACAATTTTTTCTGTAGGACTAACATGATAGCTATTTTAGGTTTTGATGCATACAACAAAATGTCTTCTGCGTATAATGAATTCATGTTTTTGCTGTGTGATGGTGAGTTTTCATGTATTTGGAGGTCCAATCTGATTTGACTTTCTATGGCACGAGCTAAAATAATGGCGGCTAGGGGGGCAGCCCAGCCAGGTTCCTCTAAATAGGTTAAATAAGTGAATGATGAAGTGAGACCTTTCACTAACTTGTGTAATAAAGAGCTTAATCTGTTGGTAAGTATTTTTTCAAAAAGCTCTCCATCAACATTTAAAGGGGAAATCAGGCATTCAATGATTGTGGGCTTGAATAAATAGGGTGCAAAAGAATAATTATGTTTTTTAAATATATAATTGAGTGAAGTGATAGCATTTTCAATCTTGGCAGTTTTTTCTGAATTTAAGAAATTAATTTAGGAAGATTGCAATCATCAAGAAATGTTTCCATCAATTAGAGATTAGTAATGTCAGCTGAATATTTTGGGCTTTTGTACATCAGTATATCAATATTACTTGTCCTGATTGTTCCATTGTCCTCTGCTTTCGCAAATTATTAATTAAAGCAGGCATTTACATACATATATGTCTTAAAACAAGTCTGGAGTTCATCTTTAAAGTGAATGTTGAATGTTTATGTTGTTGTGAAGTCAACTGAACCAGGAGAGACCAGACGCACCTGTACCCCGCTTTATGACCATGAGCAGTGACAGATCTAGGGAGGAGTCTATGGAGTTCAGGGGTGAAGGGCCGATTAGTGAGCCTATAAGGTAAGAATTTAAAGCACATTATTGTATGGATCCACGGACCTGAATTTAATCTGTATGTTCATATTAGATCTTAGCGCGAATGTTTCTTTATTACTATTTTTCTCTTCCATTTATGTCCCCTGAGGAGTTCCATAAAAAACAGCTTTCTCCTGTCGAATTGTGCATGAGTAGTTCATTCTACAAAGTGAAGCTAAACATCCAAGTAAATTAAAACCAGTGGTGGGGGAGTACTTAGATGTTTTACTGAAGTAATAGTTCCTACTAAGATTTTGTATCATAAGGTTAAATAAAGTTCATAAAAACACATTTTGCTAACTTAATAGCTACTTTCCAACAAAACACCATAAAACACAGATAACAAGATATCCAGGATGCCTGCCGTTAGCATTGCAAGTCAACATCTATACAGGAGGTTATTTCAAGACTATTTTCTTTCCTTTTCTCCTACTGTTAAGTGAATGTGACATTCAGATTCACAAAATAACTAAAACTGAAATAAAATGTGTATGCTTCTCACTGAGCAGTAGCTGTTTGTGTGATTAACTAGTTGCACAAATAATCTTAATTCCAAACTCTTCAACTAATCCCCACCGTTGCCGTGTTTACCTGCAGTTGAATTTTGGTCAATCATAGGTGTGTGCTTTCACAGAAATGTTGATCCACACCTTCCAGCAAATCAGAATCTAGAATTCTCAGGGGGCGTGGTGTAATTCATCACAATTTAATAATTATACATTTGTATGTTTTCATTTGTGTGTGGATATATCACATGTTTTCATGGTTTAGAGGTCACCGGAAGAGGTCAGTGGTTCTCACTGAAAGGCCTGCCCCGAACTTGGACTCCATATTCATGGTATGTAAATGTATGACTTTTGCTGTTGAACACTTAAAGTAACAATCTCAACCTGTCAGTGGAAAAACGAGCACTTTTAGTGGGCGTACTTTGATAGATGAATTTGTCTTCAAAGATCACATTACTGTCAATGCAGCTAATCTAAGTCAATGAATTAAGGGTTTGTTTGACCATGAAAAGACAAGCAAAGATGGTTTTGGTGAGTTTTATTTTGCTTCTGTACAGTTGTTTTAGTTGTTGTTTAAGTATGTTTTACAATTAAATATTGGTTTTGTTCGTGGATTCTGGTGGGCTGTGCAAATTTGTCTTGAGAAAAACATCTGATACGATAAATTACAGTTTTGGTTAAAACATTCTTCATGATTCAGTTTTTAGATGAGTTGGCTTTCAGCAGAGGCAGATGGATATTGTTTCCATCACTGTAAGAACATTTTAAATGGCACACCCTATTCTTCTAGCTGCTTGAAAACAACATTGTGACTTTTGTGACAAACGAGCTAAAGACGTTGAAGAAAGTTCTGGCTCCAGAAGGTCCAGAATCCTCAGAGAAGCTGAGAGAAGATGTGGAAGTTGTGAGTAGTGAGGAAGAGCACAGAAGTGGCACCAGAGAAGCATTTCTGAAAATCACACTGAACTTCCTGAGGAGAATGAACCAGGAGCAACTGGCTGACTCTCTGCAGAGGAGTAAGATGCTTTTAAGAATTACATGATGCTTCTGGAAATATGGAATTAATCTATTAGACCTATGAAATCCACATTAGCAGAATGTCTGAGAAAATTGTTTCAAAATATGAAGTGGCATTTGCTTCCTGAACTGAGCAGTTTTTATTGTACATTTCTATCTATTAGCAGAACGTGATCAAGAAATATATGCATTCATCAAAGTGTTGTTCTTTTACATATTTACCTCACCTTCACCTGTTGTTTCCTCAGAAACTTATGCTACAATTTGCCAACGTAAACTAAAGTCTAACCTGAAGAGGAAGTTTCAGTGTTTGTTTGAGGGAAATGCCAAAGCAGGAAACCCAACACTTCTGAATCAGATCTACACAGAACTCTACATCACACAGGGAGAGAGTAGAGAGGTAAACTACCAGCATGAGGTCAGACAGATAGAAGCAGCATCACGAAAACCATCAAGTTCAGAAACAACTATCAGATGTGAGGATATGTTTAAACATTCACCTGACAGAGAAGAACCAGTAAGAACTCTGGTGACACAGGGAGTGGCTGGCATTGGGAAAACAATCTTAATGCAGAAGTACATCCTAGACTGGGCTGAAGACAAAGCCAACAACAATATACAGTTCATCTTTCCATTCACTTTCCGAGAGCTCAATTTGCTGAGAGAGAAGAAGTACAGCTTGGTGGAGCTTCTTCATCACTTCTTTACTGAAACCAAAGAAGCAGGAATCAGCAGGTTTGAAGAGTTCCAGGTTGTGTTCATGTTTGACGGTCTGGACGAGTGTCGCTTTCATTTGGACTTCCACAACAGTGAGATCCTGACTGATGTTACAAAGTCGACCTCAGTCCAAGTGCTGCTGACAAACCTCATCAGGGGGACACTGCTTCCCTCTGCACGCCTCTGGATAACCACACGACCTGCAGCAGCCAATCAGATCCCGCCTGAATGCATTGACATGGTGACAGAGGTCAGAGGGTTCAGTGACCCACAGAAGGAGGAGTACTTCAGGAAGAGATTCAGAAATGAGGAGCAGGCCAACATAATCATCTCCCACATCGAGACATCACAAAGCCTCCACATCATGTGCCACATCCCAGTCTTCTGCTGGATCAGTGCTGCAGTTCTTGAGAATGTGTTGAAAACCAAAGAGAGAGGGGAGCTTCCCAAGACTCTGACTGAGATGTACATCAACTTCCTGGTGATTCAGACCAAACAGGGGAATATGAAGTATCACAGCAGTACGGTGACTGATTCACTGTGGAATGCAGAAACCAAGAAGACCATTCTCACTCTAGGAAAACTGGCTTTTGAGCAGCTGGAGAAAGGAAACCTGATCTTCTATGAAGAAGACCTGAAAGAGTGTGGCATTGACATGAAAGCTGCTTCAGTTTATTCAGGACTATTCACAGAGATCTTAGACGATAAGTTTGGGCTGAACCGTGACAAGGTGTTTTGCTTTGTCCATATGAGCATTCAAGAGTTCCTTGCTGCACTCTATGTCTTCCTGATGTTCATCAACACTGGTGTTGATCTACTGAGAAGAGGCCCATTCAACTCAGTGCGGCCTGCGTCACTACATCCTAACTTCAAACACTTCTACCAGAGGGCAGTGGACAAGGCTTTACAGAGTCCAAATGGACACATGGACTTGTTTGTCCGCTTCCTCCTGGGTCTTTCACTGGAGACCAATCAAACTCTCCTACGAGGCCTTTTGAAAACCACAGGGAGTACACCACAGGCCAAAGAGATGCTGGTGCAGTACATCAAGAACAAGATCAGGGACAATCCTTCTCCAGAGAAAAGCATCAATTTGTTCCACTGCCTGAATGAGCTGAACGACCACTCTCTAGTGCAGGAGATCCAACAGTACCTGAAATCAGGAAGTGACCTTGAGAACAAGCTCTCTCCCTCTCAGTGGTCAGCACTCGTCTTCATTTTACTGTCATCACAAAAAGATCTAGACAAGTTTGACCTGAAGAAATTCTCTGCTTCAGAGGAGGGACTTCTGCGGCTGCTGCCTGTGGTCAAAGCATCCAAAACATCTCTGTAGGTGTACAGATACATGGAAACATAAAATGTGTAAAATATACCAATTTCAATAGCAGAGAACAAAGAAATACTTTATATTCAAACATGTTTGCTTTCAGGTTGAGTGGCTGTGACCTCTCATTGAGAAGCTGTGAAGCTCTAGTCTCAGTTTTGACCTCAAAGAACTCCAGTTTGAGAGAGCTTGACCTGAGTAACAATGACCTGAAAGATACAGGAGTAATGCTGCTGTCATCAGGACTCAAGAGTCCACACTGTAAACTGGAGATACTGAGGTTAGTATTGACTAAATTATCATTTAAATAGATTAATAACTATTATTAACTATTTGAGCTAACATTATTTATCACTAAAGTTATCTGACCTCTTCAGGATTCTGTTTTCTGTTTCCTTTTGTCTAAATGCTTATAAAACCAAAAATACCACTAAAGATATTTGAGTTTAGCATTAAACTGATCAAATGTGACCCCTTGAATTCATTGACTGTCTGCCATATCATGAACAGAGATGAAATCTAACTTTCTGCTAAGAGGGAGCATTGAATTGACAGGCAGATTGGTGCAGGGTCTGCATTCATGCAGATGCTGTATCTGACTTTCAGGTTGAGTGGCTGTGAACTCTCATCAAGAAGCTGCGAAGCTCTGGTCTCAGTTTTGACCTCAAAGAACTCCAGTTTGAGAGAGCTGGACCTGAGTAACAATGACCTGAAAGATACAGGAGTAATGCTGCTGTCAGCACAACTCAAGAGTCCACACTGTAAACTGGAGATACTGAGGTTAGTATTTGTTGACTAGATAAGCATTGAATTAAATTAATATCTATTATTTATCTATTATTATTAACATTAATCATTAGTAAATATATGATTCTGTTTTCTTTTTCCCTTTGGATCAGTTTAATTTAGTTGATTTAGCTCAAGATTATGGATTAATAATTCAAATGAAGCTTCATGCACGTGTTTGCAGACTGTCAGGCTGTCAGGTCTCAGAGAAAGGCTGTACTTTTCTGGGGTCTGCTCTGGACTCCAACCCCTCCCATCTAAGAGAGCTGGACCTGAGCTTCAATCATCCAGGAGACTCAGGAGTGAATCTGCTGTTCACTGCAAAGGATGACCCAAACTGCAAACTGGAAACTCTCAAGTAGAGTAGATTATATGATTGTACAGATATATTTTGTCTGTTGTATATGTGTTAGTGTCTTTGTTTATTTCTCTTTCTCTGTCATCCTCCACAGGATTGATCATTGTGGAGAGTGTCGACTGAAACCTTCGCCCCTTCGGTGTAAGTTAAACATCTCTACTGTCACTGATCTGTAAAAAAAAAAAGGTTCAATCGACATGGAAGCTGCAGTAGCGGTTGCTATGGGCAGTCAACAGTTTTTGGACTGATTGAAGAGTTAAGCCGATTGACAGAGGTAGTTCACTCAAAACTTGTACAGCTGCATTGATCTCATCCAGGGTTGTGACCATTTGTGTGGCCTTTTTCCTATTGCTATTTTTCATGGATGTAGCAAGCTAGCCATGTAGGAGGATGACGCTGCCATTTTTAATCCTGCCTACAAAACTGTCAAATGCAGTAGGTCTAGTACTCCTCAAGCAGTCCCCGGTTCTAGGTGGGCAGCCAACTGGGGGGTTATGGGGGTGTGGAACCAGTGTGTGATTGTCTTTTGCTGTTCTGTTTTTTGGTTGTATCTAGGACTAAATATGTCTTCAGGCCCTGATTAAAAAATGCAATACAAATGCGAAGTACAAAAATGTTAAGTCTGTTGCCATGTTATATATAGAGAGAGCCAGACATGTTAGGTGACCTAACCCTAACCCTAAACACAAACTGCTGTTATGTTGTATTTTGCTTCTTCCATCAGATTTCTGTGTGCTTTCACTGGACCCAAACACAGCAAACAGGAACCTCTTACTGTCTGATGACAACAGACGAGTGATGGTGGTGACAGAGAAGCAGCCGTATCCTGATCACCCAGACAGATTTGACCACTGGAAACAGCTGCTGTGTAGCGAAGGTGTGACTGGACGCTGTTACTGGGAGGTAGAGTGGAAAGGAAGAGTTAATATAGGAGTGACATACAGAGGAATCAAGAGGAGAGGTGACAGTAATGACTGCTGTCTTGGATGGAATGATCAGTCCTGGAGTCTGATGTGCTCTGCTCAGGGTTTCACTGCCTGGCACAATAACACACCAACAGACATAGCTACACATCCACCCTCTGACTCTAAGAAGGTAGCAGTGTATGTGGACTGGCCTGCTGGAACTGTGTCCTTCTACTGCCTTCCATCCAGAGTCTCTAGCATCAAACAAATCCACCTCCACACCTTCCGCTCCACATTCACCGAACCCATCTACCCTGCGTTTAGGTTTGGACTATTGAGTGAGTTTGTGGCTGGCTCTAAATGGTTACCATCCTCACTTTATCTGTCACAGATTGAAGAGTGAATGTAGGCTCATGTGTAGAAAAACACCCACAGTTAACACCAAAGACAGGATGGATCACAGGACACCCAACTACATGTACACACATATACACACACACACACACACACACACACACACACACACACACACACACACACACACACACACAGAGTTTTGTACTATTATACATGTGAGAAACCTAGTTTACTAGTTTAATTACTTAGCTTACTAGCTTTAATCAGCCTATTCTCAATATTTACTCGAGTTTTTAAGCTTGAACTGGAGGACAAAATGAAATTGTCTATTTTCAGCCTTTGGTGGAGCTGTTTCTACTAGTAAAAATGTGAGGATCCACTGGTCTGTTAAAAGAGACTATAAAAGTGTATTTACTATGCCTATGATTTAAATCTTAAACCATTGTTTCATATTGCACTTCCATAACATTGGGGGACTTGTCAAAAATGAAACAGCACAGGCCTGGATATGGGTCAAGCACTAAACATGCTTTAAAAGTTAATTGTAAATCACCTACATTGCTTCATGTTTGCCCAATTCCATCTGTGTTATTAATCAGAATTATTTTTATAAATTTTATATAATGTGTATTCTTCATTTTTTTATTTTTTATTTCATATTGATTTTTGTTTCCTACAATAGAATATTGTTGTTCATTGTCAAGCAGACTTGTGTGTTTAATGCCAGCAAAATACAGTGTTTATTATTGTGCTTTAATCAACCTGCATGGAAATTTAAAGATTAAAACAGCCATGGAGAACAGTTCGAAACTTAGTGGTAAATGAGCTTTGTATTTCACCACAAGTGACATTATGTTGTTAATATTAAAGAAATAAAGACATCAGTTGAATATAAATTGGTTTAAATTTCTTGCTCAAAGGCTGCTGTTATGATGAAACCTGGCAAGGCATCCTAATATAGATTTATCTTGACCTAAGTGTGAAAGGTGCAACAGAAGGATACCATGAAACATAAATTAAAAAAAACTACAAGAAGTATATTTGGATCATATTTATTATATATTGTATTATATACAAAAGAAAGGATGAGAAGAAAAGCAGAGCGATAGCGAAATAAATAGTGTACAAGCAGTAAAAACAGAAATATTGCATGTAACCCATCAGAAAATGCTAAGATAGTATAGCTGGAGAGATGACAGCCATAATTACGAGTTCACAGAAGCTTTCTGGGAAAGGCAGAGAACATTTTGAATATTTAGGTATTTAAGAGTAGAGAGTGCAGATGTCTCTTTAGGTGTATATTTGTAATGCAGATATGAAAGAGCATTAACAATATGTCTGGCGTCACGTCTCTTGAGAAAGAAGAGTCATATTGAGTCTTGCTGAGACTCAGTTACACCACCTTCTGTATTCTTTTGTAATGACAGCTATGTAAACGTAAACTGGAAATAGTCTTTGTTGTTGTTGTGTTACCCACAAAGTAAAAATGCTTTGAATACATTTAACTAGACTCAGATATGGATAAGATAAAACTTAGTAACTTAGTACATTTCTGATCTCTCAGATGCATTTATTTTGTTCATATTTGTAATGATAATCATATCTGCACTGTAGCCCTACTATAATATCCCTCTGACAAAATCAGTATCAACTGGGCCTACAAGTGTATGTTAATTACTTAATATCAATACTTCTTCATTCATTTGTTGAGGTTTTTCCTTTATTTGTCAAGGTAATGTGATGTTTAATATAGGAAGGCCATCAAAACTCTATCTATAGGCTAAAAAAACGTGTCCAGCATTTGGTTTTTGTCTCCAGTGTGTAAAGTGTACCTTGGCTTTTGCATAATGGCAATTTGGTAGACTAGTGTGTGAAGTTTAGGATGCTACGTCACCACACTTCGATAGTGATGGCACACATCTTTATTAAAGTGAATTAGTGATGAATCACCCTCGTGCCTCGTTATAAGCATGATTCATGATGATGAATATACAGGAAAATTCAAATGCATGTCAAAAATAGTATATTCAAAGGCATAAAAGGTAACAATCAAACACTTCCAGGACAAAGTTGACTAACTTCAATTTCACTAATTTATTTTGTCCATATCAGATAAACATGCTAACTATCTGGTCTCTGATTCAGGCCATCAGGCTGAAACAAGAAAGCTTGCTGTGCCTCCCCTGTAGGCCACATGGTTCTCTCTCTATTTAATTGTTGTCTGTAATTGTACTCAAGAAAATATGAGAAAACAAAAACTTTGCCCAGTGTGTGTGTGTGTGTGTGTGTGTGTGTGTGTGTGTGTGGGTTGTACTCACTGACTGTATCTTATTCTGCTTGCTCTCTATAAAGATTTTAAAAATAAATAGACCAACATATATCCTGTAGGGACATAACCACGGGGTTCCCAAAGCTTCATGAGGGCTCACGAGGCCTTCTTGATTTTAAGGCGTACTAGAAAACATAAGAAATACACAGTAGGCCTATATCACAGCATTTGGTTCACTGCTGTGAAGAAAAGTAAATATAAAGAAGATTGTCAATGACCAAGTATCATGTTGTGTATAAAATACAGAATACAGAAAGAGAATTGCATAAAAAGTTGCTCAAAATTCCTCCCAACCACTCCTTTTACACAGATACCGAGTTCACTATTTAGGTTCATTGTGCAGTTTTGAATATAACATCAAACATCCATACAATAAGTCTCTTAGTCTGAGGTTGTCAGTTCACAGAAGGATAGTAAACAGGCTCCTTTGAGATTCATGATCCAATCCAATCCAACTTTATTTGTTAAGCACTTTAAAAACAACCAAAGTGCTGTACAGGAGAATAAATATTACATCATTAATGTAAACAGTGATGATGATGATGATGATGATGAAGACCCCTGTGAGGAATACAGACACACACAGTCCAGAATAATGCAGAATAATGTCATTTAATTATTAATATCATGTTTTAAATTTGGAAAAAAAAAAGAAGTGACAAATCAGAGAACGCGCGCGCACACGTGCACGCGCGCAGATGACTGATCAGGTGATGGTCACGTGGTCCAGTCAGCTGATGCTAGCGCTCGGTAGCCGGACGGTGAGACGGATCTGACGGTCAGACAGGATGCCTTTCTCCGAGCTCTATTTTAACGTCGACAACGGCTACCTGGAGGGTCTGGTCCGAGGATTTAAAGCGGGAATACTGTCCCAGGCGGATTATTTAAACCTCGTTCAGTGCGAGACCCTGGAAGGTGAGCTACAACGGATGCTAACTCACTGCTAACGGCGGGCTAGCTGCTTCCAAGGGGCTAACGCAAGCTGTCAGCCTCAGAGCTGCTTTACATCGCCTAAAAACCTTCCTGTGGTCGGACTATTCTGTTGTGTTGTACCATTGAGCCATACGTCGACTGTTTGCACAATTAAAGCCGCGATTTTTTTTTATCTTAGATTAGATTATTTCAGCTTGCTACCTGAGGCTAGCAGATACCGAGCTAATCCAGTGTTGAGTCGTCTATTGATCAATGATGGGTTTTATTTTAGAGGAAGTGAAATTGTTGTGTTAACAGCTTTAACTTGCTCCATTGACCCTCCCGCAGCCATTCTCCATAAGAACTCTCCTGAACGCGTCTGCAGCGTTGTTGCAGGTGTTACACAGACAGTCAGAGCAGATTCGTATAAACTGTGATGATGTGTGGTTTGTGTATTTTCAGTCATTGTTAAATCAGATTGTGTTGCGTATTATAACACAGGGGAAGTAAAAGCAGTGGCTGCGTGAAGGTTGGGAGAAGAAATGTAAGACTGCGGTGTTTAAATGTGGAGGCCTTTCATCCTTAATGCTGTGTGACTGACTGCTGTTGTTTTATTTGGGTAAGGTCCTGAGGGGGTGTTATTTCATTGGGGCTGTATTTTTAAAATGGTAAATAAACCTGTACTGCTTGGTTAGGGCACACCTGCACAGAGGTGGCTCGGATTTTGGGGGATGGAGGGGGAAACTGTACACGATTTGTACACAATTTGTTAAGAAATTGGCAGTTTGGCTTTTATTTCACACTTAATTCATTCGGAATATTTTTTTTGTGTCTCCTCTGCAGATCTGAAGCTCCACCTGCAGAGCACAGACTATGGCAGCTTCCTGGCAAACGAGGCGTCTCCGCTCACTGTGTCTGTTATCGACGACAAGCTGAAGGAGAAGATGGTCGTGGAGTTTCGCCACATGAGGAACCAGTCATACGAGCCGCTCGCCAGCTTCATGGACTTCATCACGTAAGCTGTCCTGTTGAAACAGCTCTTGAACTGTAACGTTGCCTGTAAATGTTCTCTTATGTCGCTTTAAAGTTGCAGTGAATTCTCCACAGTGACCAGAATCAGATGCACAGTTTCAGTGATGCAGAAGAAGTTTCAAGGTTCTTTTACTGCACCGTTACATCATATTGAAATATTCTGGGTGTTATATGTATTATATTTCCCCCAAATTCAGCCTGACAGAGTTTATACATCTTTATAAAAGAGACTTAATCAGGCACTTTGGGATGGTTGCATCAGCAGCTGCCTGTGCTCACAAGGCCAATGCACAGATTGTCAGTATGGTTGCTGTGGAAGGATGTTAGCGCCCAGCTGGAAAGGTTAGTTTGAGTCCACTACTATAACATTCGTGCATCCTGCTGTAAACATTTTGCTTAAATTTCCATTATAAATTATTTTATATTCCATTATTGGCCATCAGTCACTCTGCTCTCTAAATATCAGCCACTGAAAAACCCATATAGGTCAACCTAGTGTAAGCTATAGTTACTGAAATATAGTGAACTGACTAGCTTTAAACAAAGGGAATTACATCAAGTCGTGCACATCAATCAATCCATGATCATGGTTATCAGTAATCCTTCCTAAGTGCACCTTACTGAGGGGAAACGGTGGATACACACCCAGACACACAACAACCTTTGACTCTCAAAGGGAACAAACTCTTGTGAAAGCAACATTAATACTTTACGTTTTTTTAGTTGATTTCCTAGTTTGAGGTCATATCTGTACATAATGACAACCAGCTTATAGAAACATGTTTGAGAATGCAAATCCATAAGAGGGAATCTTCAGTCACCTTTTTTGTCTGTGTCAGAGTATGTCATCACGTGGTACTAAAGCTACGAGCAGGGACTGTTATGTAAAGTCATTGGTGCATTCAGGTGTGCTTGGACACCTGAGATCTGTCACTTGCTGTAAAGCGATGCATTGATGAGGTATGTTGTTGGAGAAAAGAAACCCAGAAGAAAAGCGGACACGAACACCACTAAAAATGTTTTTTTGTTTTAAAAATGTTGAGTGTCATTGAATGCACTGTGTCCTGCCTGTAAATGCATTACAGTGCATTCAATGACAATAAGATAAAGGTGACTAAATGTTCATAGATTTCATGTCTCAGCAGATTGTTTTTTATTCTGTAATAAAATGGAAGGTTGGAAATGTTAAGGTATGCTTTTAAAAACCGATGGCAGTAATATAAAGTATACTGTATAATATGTCGTAATGTGGACTAAAACTTGCCATAGGATATAAGGGATACTTTTTAAGAAAAAGAAAAGGGGGAAATGATACACAGGCTGTTCACAAACAGATCCTGGTAGCAGATAGATTGCATAAAGGTAGTATTGGCTTCTCCGCTTTTGTAATGACAACCCCTCCCCACCTCTCCCTACCTTGTGACTTCAGGTACAGCTATATGATTGATAACGTCATCTTGCTGATCACGGGAACCCTCCACCAGCGGGCAATCTCTGAGTTGGTGCCAAAGTGTCATCCACTGGGCAGCTTCGAGCAGATGGAGGCGGTCAACATCGCTCAGACCCCCGCCGAGCTTTACAACGCCATCCTGGTGGACACGCCCCTCGGTGAGTACCTCTATACAAACTGCTATTTAAACTGAATGATGTGAAAACTGGATAGTAATGTCTCCTGCCGAACAGAAGATGGCGCCAGAGCTAAAAGAAACAGTCTTTCCTTTTCAGCTGCATTCTTCCAGGACTGCATATCTGAACAGGACTTGGATGAGATGAACATTGAAATCATCCGTAACACACTTTACAAGGTAAAGCACATTAAAGTGATGATGCCAATAAACATATGTGATAATAATGAGAATTAAAGGCAGGATGAAGTGAAACAGCGAGAGATAAAACAAAAATTTAAGCAAATTGTGAAAGATACAGACAACAACTCATTTGCAAATAATCTGTTGGATGTGGAAGTTATGTAAATTACAAGGCAGTATAGATTGTGTTTAGTTTTATGGTACAATTTGAGAAGAAATGTTCTTAAACTAACAACTACATTGTGTCCTCTCAGGCTTACCTGGAGGCTTTCTACAAGTTCTGCTCCAACCTCGGAGGAACCACAGCTGACACCATGTGTCCTATTCTGGAGGTGAGTCTCTGCTCAGTTTATAGGGTGGAAACACACACACACACACACACACACACACACACCTGGTGGAGGGCATCTGTCAGAGTTAAAGTTGTAAGTTTGTCACATTCAGTCCCATTAAATTTGTTTTTTATTCCAAAACAATCAGCAAAATTAGATTTACTTTATAGTATATTAATTCACCTTTTTAGAATCCTATATTGACTTGAAGTAGGTCCAGTGAGATAAAAGTGTGTACATGAACCAGACATGTGTTCAGGTTGACTCATCCGTGTGCATATAAACATGCACACGTGTGCATATGGCTGCGGATTAAAGAGTCCGCTCACTCGGTCACTTGTTGTTGCTCCACTGATCTTCCCTGTCTCTGCTGCAGTTCGAGGCCGACAGGAGAGCCTTCATCATCACAATCAACTCGTTTGGCACCGAGCTGTCCAAGGAAGACCGCGCCAAGCTCTTCCCCCACTGTGGCAAGCTTTACCCAGAAGGCCTTGCTCAGCTGGCCCGGGCAGATGACTACGAGCAGGTCAAGGCTGTGGCTGATTTCTATCCTGTAAGTCCAAAAGCTAGTGGCCTGCTCATAACACCTCACCTTTTTAAATATATAATATGTAACAATTGGCATGTTAACTTCTCTGGTTTTGCACCAATCCCTCTGAGTTTAGTATCTATGAAGTTAAAGCAAAGCAAATAGTCAGTGTACCTGCCAGACTTGTATGACTGTAACTCCCTGTTTTCCATTCTCCCGTTGGTGTTTGTTACAGTTTGTGTGAAACACTGAGTTTAATGTCTTAATAATCACTATCGTATGTCTGAACTTGGCTCATGTCCTCAGGAGTACAAGCTGCTGTTCGAGGGTGCCGGCAGCAACCCAGGCGACAAAACACTGGAGGACCGTTTCTTCGAGCATGAGGTGACACATGATCAGACATACACTGACTCCCTAGTGGAGAGCTGTCTTAAACCCGCTCCACACAGCTGGCGCACCGTGTAACATCTTGCTTTTTATTACAGTGCCCATGTTAACAGGTTAGGCATTGCTTGCGTGAGCCAAGTCGAGGTTTCGCCTGTTTTTGAGTGCGTGCGTGGTAAATGACCTGTTCACAGTGAGATCGACATTACACCAGGAACATATACACCTTTCATTATAGTTTCAGTGTCTGTATCTGTTGCAGAAATGAAAAAAATAATAATTTCACTCGACACCTGCTATCTCGTTTCAGATTAAAAGCGTTTCTGTGCATAGAATCCATTCATTTGTTAACAAGGCTTCAATTGTATTGTATTTATTAAAGACAAACTCAATGTAGAATGACAGAGCTGGCCATATTTAAGACATTTAAGTTTAAAAATAGCATTTTTTAAACAACAGATGGACTTTGTAATGGTGACACTGTTTCTAAATGACCTCAAACTACTAGCTACAACACTTGGCTATTTATATTTATACTGCAATAAGCTAATATAGTGTCGTCCTCCTTCCTGCGTGCAGGTGAAGCTGAATAAGTTGGCCTTCCTCAACCAGTTCCACTTCAGTGTTTTCTACGCCTACGTCAAGCTGAAGGAGCAGGAGTGCAGGAACATCGTCTGGATCGCTGAGTGCATCGCCCAGCGGCACCGCGCCAAGATCGACAACTACATTCCTATCTTTTGAGCCGCCTCCTTCTCCCTCCCACCTTCCATTTCTTCTCCTAAACCGTCATTTCATTCAGTCTTATCTCTCGAACAGTGTCTCCAGTCCCACCTTGGTGTTAAAGATTCTGATGGTTTGATGCTAAATTTTCTCCATTCTTTCACTCGTAGGTGTAAATTGGTTCCCAACACCAGAGTTTGTTGTTGTAATGTGAGTTACAGCAGGGCTCATTATTGCTTGCAAAGTAAAACACATAATCAAATGTAATAGAACATTTTAAAGAAGGAAAGAATCGCATGATCCAACAGAGGTGTTTGGTGCTTGACTGAGCTCAGCAGGTAGGGGAGGAGGCAACTCATTTTACTTTCAAACACTTGCCTCTGACTGTCAAAACTTTCTGATGTTGTATGTTTACGTGGCACACCCTGTCCATCCATCACCTCAGCTGGTAGGAATACAACAAGAAGAATTTGCAAGTCCCAGGAATGAACCCAACACACACACCAGGGCAGGAACTCCCAGCACAGCAAACACCAACCATCTTTTTGAGATCATGTTAATCTCCAGGCACATGAAACCCTTAAAGGTTCAGTATACTTTATGTTTTACATTCAGCAACTACCAAAATCAGTTAATGGTTCCGTATCTAAACCTCACATGATCCCACAACATCAGCCAGTCTGGAACAAAGCGGACATGAAAACATTCCTCACCTCAGCATCAGTCTCCACCAGGTTCTGTATAACCTGTATTTATTTCTGTTTTAGTGCTAGGTTTTGTCAGCATGTCTGGTCATTACTGTGCTTTCCCCCAAAAAACTAATGAGTGAAATGTGTGAGCCCCGCCTTGTTTGCTGTCTTAACTAGATTGTTGTTAGATTATTAAAAATACAGCAGCTGAACAGGAGCTTCCAGTCCTCACCGTCCCTGTTTCTGTGTGAACTCTTGAGTTTCTGTAAATGAACGTACTGGAATGAGGCAGAATCTAGTGAGTATATGACAGACTTAATGTTTAAAGTATACAAAGATATATAGATATTTAAAGATGACTATGATTTTGTTTTTTCATGCTGTAAAAATTGATTTATTGCTGTTTTGATCTGTTTCTTACTTGTGAAATGTGTATTGTAAATGTGACAAAAAATAAACAGACTAAACTGGACGAACGCAGTTCTAAAAAATGTAAGACTTATCAAATGGCTTTGAAATATTTTCATTTGTTCGCTGTGTTCATGTGGGTGACAAATGTAGGAAAGTAAGAGATGGTTCAGCAAAAAAATGTGTTCTAATCTAAAATATAATCCAAGTGTGTAGGAATCAGTGGCATCTTGCAGTGAAGTTGTAGATTGTGATTATCTGAATACAGCTTAACCTTCCAAGTTGGAGGAGAAACTATGGTGAACGGCCTTATCCAGACGCAGTGTGTAGTTTGTCCGTTCTGGTACTGTAGAAACATTGTGATTCAACATGGCGGAGCGAAGATCCAACCTGCTCCCTCCCCATTAGTGATTATACAATAATGAAAACATAAATATTATAGTCCATTTCTGCCATTAGATCCTCCTAAATGGTACACACTGGACCTTTAAAATGTGACCATAGGCTGTCACTTTTATCCGTAAGCCCAGCACAGCGAATATCACAACACAAAGAGTCAATTGCACTAAACACACTAATAATAATAATAATAATAATTTATTTAACTTTATTTATATAGCACTTTTCAAGACAGATAAAATGACAACAAGGCACATGAGCACCAAAGTAATAAAACAATGGAATGAATAAGAAGAAATAAATAAGAATGATGATGAAACTGGGTGAAAGGCAGAGTTAGCATGAAAGAGTGTAAGAGTGTACTTGGAGTGCAAAGGTCAGACTGGATTGGAGCTGAGGCTGATGGGAATGCCAATGCTCTGAAGTTGGAGTTTGCCTGGTTGTCATGGAGATCACTAAGGTGTCATCCATATCGATCACATGAGGTGGATTATTTAATGAATGAAACTCAATTTAGTTTCAGACCTACAATACAAATGTGTTTTATTCAGATGTAGCTGCAGGCACAGATATCTCTCTGTAAAGAGAGATTCAGCACAGGCTGAACTCTCTTCAGCTTTAATTGAGTCCAATCAGGCTGTTCAGCTGCAGCTGTGGTATCTACAGTGTCAGTAAACCTGCAACTCTCTCAGAGAAAACCCATGAAACACATTGAACCATGACCTTACAGCTTAAAACCAAAGCTCGACTCTTTGACCTGCACTGCTCTGTGGGCCTGACGGACTGGGACATGGACAAGGAGCTGAAACTGGTAACAACCACAGACCAGTTTTACCATGGTGACTAACTTTCTTCTCCCTGTAGGGTTTGGCTTCACTCCAAACAGCAAACCAGTAAACAGTTAAAACACAGGATATCTTCAGAGAGAGTTTTTCACTGTATAATGCTGTGTGTCAATCTACCACTGATGACAGATGACAAACTGAATGATCAGTACGTGGTCCAGAGGCCTTCTGCAAGAGCCTCAAGAAGAAAAGATGAATTCATTTGGTACGATAAAACATCAGGTGAGCTGAGAGAAAAACATTTAGTTCTTCCATGAAAGTCTGTGCCTCAACCAGCTCCAGTTTTACTTTAACAGCTATTTACTTTTTATTTCTCTTTGTTCTGATTCACAATTTTTAATATTTCCAAACTTTTTCAATACAGATCTGAATATCATTCTATCCGCATATTACTGTTCATATTATTTCAGTGTTTCTCACTACAGTGCTTATTTGCTTTCATGTCAAGCCTTAGTTGGGAAGATCGTCTGTTGAATCTGAACAGCCAGAAGACTACTGGCTTACCATAACTAATATCTTTTTTCTTAACCGTACAAAAACAGAATTGGATAATGTGTTGATTAGAGATGCTTGTGGGGCTGAATTCTAATTCTTTTAGCCTTCCCCATATCCCCCAGAGCCAGGTCAATGGTTTACCCCTGTTTGCTGTTTTTATGCAACGCTAACCATCTCCTGGTTTTAGTTCATATGTAGCGGACAGGTACGTGTGTGATACCCATAATTCCTTGGCAAGAAAGTGAATAAATGTTCATGTATGTACCAAAATGTTGAGCTATTCCACTGACAAATATATTTATTCAATATTCTGAAACCTGAAGTGTTCTTCTTCTGTCCCTGTCTTTTATTTAGCTATGTCTTGCTATGTGCCAGAAACCTCTTACTGTTTTGGCTGTCACTAGGTAAATGTCCTGCCAAATAAATGACAATTAACTGACTTTTGTTGCCACATGCCATGATTTTTCTGTCCATCAGACACCTTTGTGAAGCCAAACCTGTGGCTGTTAGTGAATCCAAACATCGCCTGCCCGATCCAGTACGGCACAGCAGATCTACAGAATCTCTCTGCACCCGCAGAGGGAATCCAAACCCCTCTACTGGACCCTGCAGAGACCCAGCGTCAGCTTACCACAGAGCTCCACATGTTTGCCCCCCATGATGCTCCTCTCCGTGAGGAACTGCTGCGCTCTGTTTCCACCTCCACTGAAGTACAGTATACACAATCCATTCTCATCCCAGGTTGTCAGATACCGATGCCATTTTGCCCCATGCCTTTTAACATGTGGTTAACATTGTGAACAGTTAGATTTAGGCAACAAAACTACCTGGTTAGGTTCAGGAATAGGTGGTTAAGCATCTGAATGAACACTCCATTTGCTCTACATACAAAAATAACAATAAATAAATTTGAGGATACACAATAACTGGCATGCTTTTTAAAGAATGAAGGAGACTACCACAAACTCTAAAAGAGGATTGAATACACAAGTCTGTTACTGATGTAATGTCACCGTCCTTGACAATCAGATCAGGAACGAAGACATCTCCTGCCGACCTGCCAAGAACAGATGCAAGGGACGGACAACGAAAGCCAGGGTGAGAACACTGGGCTTGGGTCTGGACCAGGTTCCTAAAGGGGGGGATGTGGGGAAGGCCATAAGAACCTATCTACTCAGTTATCCTCCTCCACTGTGAGTGAGATTTTACATGAACACAAAGTTATCTGCCGAAAATGTGGCTGTGTATCATTCCATCATCGATGGTTTCAAAGCCAGATCAGAAAAACGGAGGCTGTGTTATGTGCAGCTCAAACTAAAGACATGGCATGCTCAGCTCAAATGTCTTTAAAGTATGATGGATGCCGACCCAAAAAAATCATATAGTACAACAGTAAGGGAAGTCGTCAGCACTCACAAAAACACGTACAGAAAGGTTTTCCTTAGTGTTCGTAACGTGTCTGTTTTGTTCTGCTGCTGTGCAATCAAAAGTATTATATACTTATGTGTGAGTGCTGATGACTTTACTGTTTTATGTGTAGTTCTGGCTATGTCTGTTTTTTTTTTTTTTCTTTGGGTTGGTTCGTAAAATAAACAGCAAGCTGCTATGCTGGTACAGCGAGTTGTGTTTCTCCACCGGTCCGGGAGTGATGGCCGGATCACAGTGAACACACGGGCACTGCGGTTAACCTGCGGGATGGGTCATAAATTAACATTCTAATTAATAGCGGGTGGTTCGCGGGTCTGTGACATGGGGTGAGTCGTCTTGCCAGTAAGAAAGATGCTGTGTGCGTTCGTGCAGGAGATAAAACAATACACAGATTGCTAAACTTAGTAAGAGTGACTTTAGTTATTTCTTATAGGAGATCTGTTTTGTGTGTTTTTGTCACCTGTTCTCCCTGGTTTGAAGTCGACGTGGCTCTTTTGGGAAAAAGTAAGGTCACCTACAGTTTTTCTGTGCACCAGTCAGCAATATTTGGATCAAACTGTGGCGACAGTTGATGTTGCCAGCAATCAAATCTGATCAAACCACACCCAGATCGACCTGACGAAGCAGATTCACTTTTTGAGTTAGCTATAGAGTATAGAGTTTGGATGGGTCTCTTCTGGGTGCTCTGGAATTGTTAAAATGAAAACTGTCACACACAGCTACCGTAAGTGGAATGAATGGGCTTATATTTGGTTTCTGCCTGCTTCCAGGACAGTAAGACCCTGAAGCCAGGATGCTGGCCTCGTCCACCAGTGAATTACTGCATCCTCATCTCCTTGGCACTCAAGAGCAGCCATACTGGGAGCCTCAAAGTCCAGCAGATTTATCACTTCACCAGGTCAGAAGTTAATAGATTGCTAAAACACAAGAGGTTTATGTGACAATAAAAAAATTATACGATCATTGGTTGACTGGTAGGATGGCACCCAACCAAACATTGTTAAAGTTGCTGGAATCATCTGTTCCAAAATGTCAGACTGATCTCTGACTGGTGGGGTATTCTAGAGAAAGAGAGAGTTAGTTATTAAGATTTTTACTACAGTAATCAAAGAGCACTATAGGTATGTAACGAAAACCTTTTTGCACTCTCCTGCTACTATAGCTAATGTCACAACAACAGCATAACTTGGCAAACTAGAAAGTCACTGAATGTCTGTAGGCAAGTCATCGTGACCTGACACACTAATCATGGCCGGAATAAATTTGTGTGGCTCTTGTTTCGCACTTACAGAGCCAGGGCTGAATACACACACCAGATTTTTTTTCAGTGTGCACACGGAACGGACAGCGGACTGTGAGGAGATATTTGCTGAATTTGAGAAACAGACGTGTATTGGATTAGAATCGCATACCCAAGCTTTAAAGGGCCTGTGTGTAATTTCCAATGGAAAAGTTGCACTGGAGCAACAACACAGCCTGTTTCGGAGGTTTGAGCTCCCTCACGTTCCTCATAATCCTTCCTATCTTTCTCCAGAGAGCACTTCCCCTTCTTTCAGACAGCTCCGGACGGCTGGAAAAACACTATCCGACACAACCTTTGCTTCAACAACAGCTTCCGCAAAACCTGCAACCAGCTGTGCAGAGATGGCAAGAGGAAGTCGTGCTTTTGGCACCTGACTCTGGACGGCCAGCGCCGCCTAAAGGATGAGATTCGCACATTGACAGGAGAATCCTTTAAGCAGCTGCAGAGGAGCATGTCCCACCCAGGTACATGTGATAAAATCAACACATTCTCACTCCCAACAAATACTGCAGCTTTGTCAACGTGGCCTCATACTTCAAAATATGATGCTGTAGGTAGCCCACGTCTATAGCATCATTCCTGGTAGCGCAGGGCTCAACGGTCATGTTAGCAATAATAATTATGTAACGTTCGGTTACTCTTTCAAAATAAAGCTCACTTGGATAATGTTATGGAAAGGTCGCAGGTCTGTTAAGTTTAGGCACAAAAACTACTCTGTTAGTATTAGGAAAAGGTTGTGAGTCATGTCACGTATCTGACATACAACAATACAATGTAGTTTGCATATGCAACTTTAAAATTTTTGTACTTTTGCTGCTTGTTTTTGCTGCAGGCACTGTCACATGTGCAAATTTGCAACTTTGCTTTGCATGTAGTTCAACTTTGAACTTTCCCCGGTGAAGTCAGCAAAACTGAGGGGTATGAATCCATAACAAAGAGAATGAAGTAAGTTGCTGTGTTTGACAGAGAGACAGAAATGTATTGCTAACGACGGTTTTCTTTCTGTTTCAGATCTAATACGAAATTTACTTGCACTGTGATTGCAGCTGTAAACGTGTAAACGTTTACTTTAAACTAATGCATAATAAAACTTTATATGCTGAACGTTTCTTCTGTTATGTTGTATATTTATGAATGCAGTTTTTGTGAATATTTGGAGATCCTTAAGGAGCATTTTGATTTACTTATCACTGGAAGTACAGTCAAGTGAAAGTCAGTTAAATTAAAATACCTAAATAAATGCATTTGTCTGGTCAAATCATTTTATGTAGCTAATTTTAACTACTTAAGATGCCCTGATATGACTCTGAGCAGTACAAAGATGGAGCAGTTTTTTTCACTCGCTTACTGGTGTGTCTAAAATGTTTTTCAGGTCAGTACGTAAAGCTCATTTGCCAACAGTCAAATGGTTTCTGGAGGTGACAGTGTGCTGGTGTTTTATTTAAGTGTTGGCTAGTCAAATTATTGTTCCAATGTGGAAATCAGAGTCGTGAGATCTTCAGCTGGATGTTGGAGGCTCATCGAGCAGCATCGGGTCTTTCTCACGGAGCACATCACAGCAAAAGAGACAGCAAAACAATGCACTAGGACAGGTAAGGACATTAACACTGGCACTGCTGCTCAGTCCATTGATTTAGTTGATTAGTGTGTCTCTTAGTGGTTTTTATGGTCTATTAACAAGCAATGATCACTTTTACTGAATAAAATATTGTCATATGTCCGGATTATATATTAAATATTCTGATGATCAATTGAAAAAAAATTTGTATTTTTTTAATTCTCACTACACACACAATAGGTATAACAAGCATGGTTGAATGTTATGTTCTTTGTACAACAGAATTCCGATGATGGCGATGATGAGCAGCCTCTCAGGACTCTTCTTCCTCCTCCTCAGCAGTACTGTGTCTGGACTGGGATCAGTGGTGTGGAGAACGTACACGTACCACGCAAGTCATCGCACATGGGAGGACGCGCAAAGCTTCTGCAGAAGGTAGAGACAGAATAAAAGAGTGGGGTGGATGAACAAAAACATCACTTGAAAGGTTATTTAAATCTGCAGTGTGAATAGACAGAACAGAGAGACACAGTGGTGGATGGATAGAGAAATGATATTATAAGTCCATTCTGGGCTACTGTACAAACATGGTGGTTTAACATGGTAGACTCTATGGAGAGCAACCTGCGGTGTCTGTAGATTGTAAGGTAACAAAAACACCACGACTCATATATTCATTGTGATTAGACACTAATGAAAACATGAATGAATATTATATTCCATTTCAACCAATAGATCCTCCTAAATGTAATCTGAAGTTACTGTATCTACTGCGCAGAGAGCAACTGTGCACACGCCCTTTGGTTCCAGTCCAATATTTCAACATTTATTGGATGTCCAGAGATGTTTTTAGACACATATACAAATAGTCGGGTACAAATAATAGGTGTATGTTTGTGCAAGAAAAATATAATTTTCACTTTTAAATCCTTAAAAAGGCATCCACTCTTTCAATCTCATAAAGAATTCCAGAATCTATTAATGTGCAAATTTGGTTCATTTCTACATTTTACAGTCTCCTACCTTGTTGTTCAGGTCAAAGGTTCAGTTTATCTAATACTTTGTTTTATGACCAAATATCTGCAAAACTAATGACATTCCATCTGCCACAGCTGTACATAGCACAGAGTGCAAAACATCTTCTAATATTAGTATAATCTTGTTTTTACCTTACTTTTCCCAATTAGATCAAATTACCACACTGACCTGGCCTCCATCTATACGCAGTCAGAAATAGACCCACTGAACTTGAAACAACATTATTCATGGATCGGCCTAAAAAGGTTATACAACAACACCTGGATTTGGTCTAATGGAGAAACCGACTACTTCAATAATTGGGAGAATAATGAGCCACATTACAATGAAGACTGTGCTTTCGTCTCGTACAACACGAAAAAGTAAAGTAGTCATTTTTTTATTCTGTATGTTTTCTGTATGATTTGCAGCATTTAGTCATTTCCTGTCTTCTCTGTATTTGCATTATTTTTCTTTATGCTAATTGGTCATTGCGTTTCTTAATTTGCTTGTGTTTTGTCTGTTTGCGTGTGTGTTCTTAAGTTGCATTGAGCTCTCTCAGCCACCGTAGGAGGGAAGGGATAGGACTCAAAAATCTAAAGCATGATTTTATTTGGAAAGTAGTCAGCAGTCGTGCAATTTTTTTTTATTTGTTTGTTCCTAATATACTAACACAGTAAAACACCTTCAATATATTTCTGCTAAAATGGACAAATTGGATTTATGCATCAAATTCTTCCTCTTTGTAATTGTGTTCATATTTTTCTTAAAAGGTTTCATGGCGGCAGATGTGAGGGACATCTTTTCTTCATCTGTCATAATAACCGCTACGACAACAGCATCTTAAACCTCCCCAACTACAACTACTACTTCGACTACACATTCATACCGCAGTCGAAGACATGGTCTGAAGCTCAGCAGTACTGCAAGGACAATTTTGACGATCTGGCAACTTTCAGAAGCTACAACCTGGACTCTGCTGTCAACCTGCAGGACTTTCCAGTCTGGACTGGATTGCACAGAGACGGTAAAGACAAACACATGTGCTAAAAGCCAGTCCGAGATTTCCTCTTGTCTGACAATTTTGCTGTCCTTTTCTCTTCTTAGCTTCCTCTGTAAACGTTTTGTTCGGTCTCTGTGCCATTGCCATTCGCTATGTCCATAGAAGTTGTTGAGCCTGATCACATGGCCTGCTCGAAAGCTGCTGTGCTGCTAGTGTAAACACCAACACTCCCACGATCCTCTGACCGCGCAATCTCAGGTATCCAGCATTAGAGCTAAGCTAACTTGCTAACAGCAGCCACATTTCACGACGAAAACTCGAAGTCACAGAGAAACTTTTCCTCTATAAAATATGATCCAGTTTCACCAAAATCAGTGACATAGTCGGTGTGACATAGTGCTGTCAAACGTTACACACTTTTCCTGACCTGGTATCAGGCCGGGTGGGAATGACAGAGCCACCATTCAACTGCAAGTCATTGTAGCATCAACATGAGAGTGAAAAAAAGCTACATAATGTTGCCTTAAGCCCGTTGTTCCAAAGCTGGGGCTCGGCAAAGCTTTACGGGGGGTCACAAGGCCTTCTTGATTGTAAGGGGTGTAAGAAAACGTAACAAATATGCACAGTAGGCCTATATCTCAGCATTGAGTTTATTTATTAAAAGTATTTTTAAAGTTTAGATTACTATTCAGTATATTAACTTAAAAGACCTGAGCACAAGCTTTTATCAGGGCCCGAGCAGCAACCGCTGCAAGGACCCTCTTGAAACTGAAGGAATTAATATTTCACACAATGAATCGCATTTTTGGCTGCTGCAACATGCTCCGAACCTCATGAAACGCGCCACAAAATTCAACAGTAGGAGAAATTTACATATAAGATTCCAGACGTCCAAAAAACTCTTCTGGACACATACCCCAAACAGCCATTTTGAATTTAGTGGCCCTATTTGCTGATTTATGTTTTTGTATTTTAGCTTCTCTTTGCCACAAAACAGGAAGTTGTTATAACTTGAGTGTACTGCAGTTTCACCCAGATATACGAAATTTAGTAGGCACATGTATCATGTCCAGCCATACAGAAAAATCTTTTGGACCCATGTGCCAAACCCAAGAGGTAGTCGGTCATGAGAATGAGAAGGAAACGCTGAAGTTGTTAAAAAAGAAGCCTATAAAGTATATAGGATTGTTTAAAAAAAATTAAATACATTTCAGAATAAACACAGGAAACTTCCTTAAAATATCAGGAAAACTAATTTCTGATCAAAAGTTTAAAATTCAGCCAAATCTCTAATTTTACACAAACGTCCTGGTTCATTGTACAGTTTATCAGTCGTTCTCTTCTGTAACTGATCTGCATTGAATGTCATATGAAATATACATTAAATATGCCAGTAATTCAGGGGTCAGTTTATTCAATGAAAGAAAAAGGCTCCCTTAAGGAAAAAGGTTGGGAAGCACTGCCATAGGCCATTATCAGCTTTATGGTAATGGAATGGAAGTTTCAATATCTCTTCTTCAGGGGAAGTGTGGAAATGGAGTGCAGGGTTGTTGCAGTACAGAAAATGGGCATCAGATGAGCCAAGGGACAACGGCGACTGCGTCTCCATCTCCTCTGTGAGCAAAACGATGGCCACCCAAAAGTGCTCCGACCGGTTTCCCTTCATCTGCATCAGGGACAACCTGATCCTGGTGAAAGAGAACAAGACCTGGGAGGAGGCCCTGGAGCACTGCCGATCCCTCAAGACATCCCTCTACCCCCACTATTCATATGAGCTGGTCAGCGTGCAGCCTGGAGAGGACCACAACTACATGATGAACAAGGTCATGGAGGCAAACACTGAGAAGGTGGGTCCATATTCATTGACACATGTAATACATGTTGACATGAGATGTGTTTACTGGTTGCTATCCCAGTGAGCACCAACGAGGATTTCAACATTGATTTCTAGTTTAAGACTCGGTCTGAACGTCTAAGACCTCTTTTCAGCCTCTTTTCAACCAGCTAAACAACAGTTAAAATATCGTGTCACAAAACACAATTTGAATGAATCTTTGTTCAGTTGTAGGTTGATGGAGAGAATATATCGGTATATAGGTATTTCTCCTCAATCATCACGTATATCACCTCTATTAACAATACATTTCTAAAGTGCGCTTTTTGTAGTTCATCTTTGGAACGTTTCACCACAGCAGACACACATCATTAACATCTGCCTGTGTCCTGTCAACAGTTTTATAGAATGGTGCTCTATGGGGGGAATGCTTTGTGGAAAGCAGGTTTTTTTGTTGCTGCTCTCTTATAATATCTGTGGAGGTTCATTAGTTGTTTTCTCTCTTTAGGTGTGGACAGGCCTCCGTTTCCTGGCCGGTCATTGGTTGTGGGTGAACAGGGCAGATATGTCGTACCCTGATCTGTCCCTCTGCCCCCTCGAGGAGCAGCACTGTGGAGCCTTATCCAAGAATAACACAGGCAGTGTGGAGACCACAGACTGTACGGAGAAATTGAACTTCCTGTGTTACGGCAAATATTAGTGACATCACTGCTATCATCTCCGTGTGTGTTAAAATGCTATTCAACTTGTTACACAGCTTCTTCAGATGGTAGATATGCAACTGTGTGTAAAGCCTGTGATCACATTAATGGAATATCAAACTAAGGAATTTGTTATGTAAATGTTTGATTAAAGTTTATGGTAAAATGAGAATATAAAGCATGGTTTTCTTTTCTCTAAACGTCTTCACACTCAACTCTATATTTAACAAGTAGGTTCCTCATTGTCATATATCAGCTCAGTAAAAGTTCTGTGGCGCTTTGTAAGTGCTAAAGTCCTAAAAAGTGATCTTCAATAGTAAGTTGTACATAGCTAATTGTGTAGCACTTATGAAGGGATAGTTGACCCGAATAAAAGAAGGAAACATTTGCTCGTTGATTTCAAGGCCTAAGCCTGAAGGATATCTTGCTTATGAGTTGTTCTATGTGACAAAAATACCAATGCACAATAAAACTTTATATGCTGAACGTTTCTTCTGTTATGTTGTATGTTATTCGTGAGTGCATTCTGTTTAGTTCTTGTAAATATTTGGAGATCCCTAAAGGGCACTTTGATTTACTTATTACTAAAAGTGCAGTCAAGTGAAGATATTTGCACATTAAAAGTTAAATTAACATCCAAAAATAAATGCATTTGTCATGTAAATGATAAAGTATACATTCCATGTAGGAGCCTGTTTTTTTTATTTTAGTGTGTCAGTGACCTTAAGTACGACACTTTGTCCTATCAGCAGGCATCGTCGTTAGTCAGTGCCTTCCAAATCACTGCTGAAAAATACATCAGTTTTATTATGTTCCATTGTTTGATTAGGTTTAGGCACAACAGGGACTAAGTCAGAGAACAATCATGCTCAGCACCATTGACATATATGGCACTGATCACCCCCTCAATCAAAACTTCACATTACTAGTATCACAAAAGGTCCAGTGTGTAACATGTTGGCAACAAGGGAATTAGTATATGCATGTTTTATCAGTATATAATCACCTAGAAATAAAACTTGTTGTGTTTTTGTTACCTTAGAATGAGCCTTTTATGGAGGCCACCATTTTTTTAACCTTTTAAAAAAAAAAAAAAAGAAAAACATGGCTACATATAACTAACAGCCAGTTGGCAATAGCTGTGTTTAGCACAGTGGGGACAATCCCATTTTCCTCCTACTGATACAGGATCATTGAGGATATATGGGTTAATAAAATATATTGGATGATATTCATTTTCCTTACACAACCCATGACATAATTAAAACATGTTTTGATTAGGTTCCTTTAAATTAGTTTTACACAACTTAATATAAAAGTCTGTGCAGCGTTTTTCTGTCTGATAAGCATTCAAACTCATTTGTTACTCAAACTGGACTTTGTGTCTTGTATTTTACTGTCTAACTGGTACCTGCATTTTGTTTGTTTGTTAAACGCAGTGCAATATCTGCTTATTCTCTCTCAATACATCATGAGCATCGGTTAACTACTTAACATGTCCTGATGTGATTCATTCACTTGCTTCCTGGTGTGTCTAAAATGTGTTTTTCAGGTCGGTAGGTAAATCTCACTTAATTTGCCAACAGTCAAATGGTTTCCGGAGATGACTGGGAGCTTATAGTTGATTTTAGTGTCGGCTAGTCAAATTATTGTTCCCATATGTGGAAGTCAGAGTCTTGAGATCTTCAGCTGGATGTTGGAGGCTCATCGAGCAGCATCGGGTCTTTCTCACTGAGCACATCGCAGCAAAAGAGACAGCAAAACAATGCACCAGGACAGGTAAGGACATTAACACTGGCACTGCTGCTCAGTCCATTGATTTGGTTTATTAATGTGTCTATTATTGGTTTTTATGGTCTATTAACAAGCAATGATCACTTTTACTGAAAAAATGATTGTGATCATATGTCCGGATTATTCACAAATATACTGCTTAACAGTTTAAAAAAGTAATTTTTTTATTCTCACCACACACAATAGGACAGCATGGTTCAATATTATGTTCTTTGTACAACAGAATTCTGATGATGGCGATGATGAGCAGCCTCTCTGGACTCTTCCTCCTCCTGTTCAGCAGTACTGTGTCTGGACTGGGATCAGTGGTGTGGAGAAAGTACGCGTACATCAGAAGTCATCTGACATGGGAGGACGCTCAAAGCTTCTGCAGAAGGTTTGCTTTTTCTTTTTGTTATTATCATTATTATTATTTTTATTATTTAAAAGCTATTAGAAGTTAAAATGTTTATTTATATACAATGTAAGGCTTGAATGTGAAATTAGAAAATACATATGATAAAAGAGTGAGGTGGATAGACAGAACAGAGTGATAGAGTGATTGATGGATAGAGAAATTATAATCTGTCACAATCAGAAACTAGAGACTTTAATTTAATCAGAACCTGAGTCAATCAGCTGTGTAACGCTTCACTGTGATGCTTTGAGCAAAATGCTAACATCAGCGTGGTAATGCTCACAATCCAAATGTTAAAATTCCTGATGTTTAGCAGATAATGTTTACCATGTTGGCGTGCTAACATTTTGCACAAAAAAAAGGACAGGTGAGGCTGATGAGAAGTAGAAGTTTTTTTTTTGCAATCAAAATTTTATTTTATTTTAAGGAAAAATACAGATAGGTATATGCACGTTACAAAAATAGAGCATAAAATATATATTCACATACATACCTATACATATGCATATATACAGATACATATGATTAAACAACTAAAATAAAATAATAAAAATAAATAAATAAAACCCCAAATATAACCCACTCACCCCCTGAATCCAGATCTCTATATCTCAGTCACATATTACACCTGAAACCCACAGAGGATAGTTAAGAGTGAATGCCAAGCCTCTATTGCTAACTCTTTTGCTCCATGGACTCTAGCTATCGACAACTCCAAATAAACAATATCCAAATATTTAAAAAACCACAACTAACTGAACACTGCTGGCGTCTGTGTTTTTGACGACTTGGGAATGAGAATGTGCTGTGAAGAGTGGAGCAGAAACTATACAGTATTTTCATGCCAGACCATTGACATATATGTGCCAGACTCAGACCAGTCTGTAGGTGTATCTGCAGACCTCACCACTGCCATGGGGTTCTCGAACGGTACGCAGTAGTCAGCTCCAGCGGGTCACTGTGGCCTGTTTGTATAGTACCTGATTCTTCCCCCTTTGTACCCCAGTGTCTGTTAACCACAGTGTCAGCTTGGTTATTGTAGTAATGGCTGGGAAAAACAATAAAACAGGAGGGTGTCGGAAGATGGCCCTGGAATACGGGAAAAACCCGGGAAAAACCTGAGTGTTGGAGGTATGGTAAAGTTAAGAGATCACCAATGAAGAATATTTAGTTTGCAGGTAGACTGATTTCTCTGAGAACAGTCTGGGTTCAATCTTTTATTGTAGGACTTTAAACCGGTTTGTCTTATAACATTATTAGAGAAAGGATAGCAAAAGATATTCATATAGACATCATAATTCCTAATTTATATAATTTACAGTCCAACAAAGGTAATTTAACTTTAAACACAATTACTCTGTAAACCTACCGGTGACTAAATAACACTACTTACACCTAATCAGTACAGCAAATAATCAAAAACTACTAAAGTTGCTACAAATGCATTTAAACCATGTAGAGGACAGACTGACACTTTGGTCCAGTCAGAAATATTTCAACATTAATTGGATGTCTAGAGACATATATACAAATAGTCTGATGAGGTTTTTTTCTGCAAGAAAAGTATAACTTTCACATTAAAATCCTTAAAAAGGCATCCACTCTTTCAATCTCATTTAAAAATTCCAGAATCTATTAATGTGCAAATTTTGTTTATTTCTACATTTTACAGTCTCCTACCTCGAATATCAGAAAACTAATGACATTCCATCCGCCACAGCTGTACATAGCACAGAGTAGCGTGCAAACATCGTCTGCCATTAGTATAATCTTGTTTTTACTTTACTTTTCACTTGTATTCTGACAGATCATTCGGCAAATAAAATTGTTTGATTTTTTTCCCCAATCAGCTCAAATTGGTACACTGACTTAGCCACCATCTATACACAGTCAGATTTAGATCAGCTGTTTTTGGATGGTTATGATTCATGGATCGGCCTACACAAGCCTGGCGCCTACAAATGGTATTGGTCTGATGGAGAAATCAACGACTTCTATAAATGGGCAGATAAGCAGCCAGACTACAGAAAAGACTGTGCTTCCGTCAATTACGGCCACAAAAGGTAATGGGACATCGTTCTTCTATGTGTTTCTCCATGTTAAACAGAATCTCATGTGTATTTTATATTACTGTGAATTTTTTTTTTGAAACATGCTGTGGTTTTTTTATATTTTGTAATATTCTCTTTAAGTTTTCAAGCAGCCATTGGACTCCATTCTTAAACATAAGCTACCTAGTGTTAAACTTTTACTAACTACTAGCATGTTCAGATTATTTTTTGTTAGTTCTATTTTTCTGTATGATTTGCAGCCTTTAGTTATTTGCTTGTCTTTTCTATATTTACATCATGTTTTTTAACGCTGAGTTCATTTGCTTGTGATTTGTCTGTGTGCACGTGTGTGCTCTCTCAGACACCGTAGGAGGGAAGGGACAGGACTCAAAAATCTAAAGCATGATTTGATTTGGAAAGTAGTCAGCAGTCGTGCAACTTTTGTTTTATTTGTACTGTATATTCCTAATATGACTAAAATAATCACACCTTGGAATATTTTTATTCTAAAATAGTCAAATTGGATTTATGCATCAAATTATTCCTCTTTTTAATTTTGTTGTTCATATTTCTCTTGAAAGGTTTTATAGCAACGAATGTGATGGATATTTATTCTTCATCTGCCATGACCATCACAACAACAATTATGACTACACATTTATACCGCAGTCGAAGACATGGTCTGAAGCTCAGCAGTACTGCCAGGATCATTTTGATGATCTAGCAACTATCAAAAAGGACTCCGACCTGGACTCTGCTGTCAATCAGCAGGACTTTCCAGTCTGGACTGCATTACGCACAGACGGTAAAGACAAACACAACTGCAACCTGTCATGCTCTGGTGAACTATTCTTATGTTTTCAGTCCAGAAACTCATCCAATGGTGAGTTCTTTTCTAAGATGGCACCCAATCTGTTGAGTCACCATCTCAAATAGCTGTCTCTTAAATCACAAAGTAGCTCCTTTAGGGCCAGAATTCATGATTCTGTAACTTTTTGACAACCTAGAATACACATCTGGAGACAGAAATGTCGAAAATGTGGCTGTGAGTGCAACCCTCATCAGGAGTACCTCCACAGGCAACCATTGTACAACCCCAACAGCCAATAACATTTACATTTCAGGATTGTGTTGCTAAGTTTTTATGTTGAATGTCTTTAGCTTCTTTGTCTTCTAACATCTTGGGACCATGTTGGAAGTTTTCACACTTTAACATGATTTAACGTGTTATCTTTTGGATTTTTGTTTTTTCTACTGTCTGCTGACCCAAAATTGGGGATATGAGGAAGCTATATTTAACTTATTTTACCTCTTGAAACTTGTAGAGGAGAGTAAAACCCCTGCTATGTTATTTATAATTTTCCCCGTTACTTTGAATACTACTAATTTGCTAACACAGCCAAACATAAAGCAAGTGCAACAACACGAGATACAGCAACCCAGCTGTGCCTCTGCCATTAGCTATGTCCATAGAAGTTGCTGAGCCCGGTTACATTGCACAACACTGACGCCACTCCCGGTCCTGAAAACGTCCTCCTCTCAGCAGTCCAAAGCTGCTGTGCTGCCAGGGTAAACACCAACACTCCCCCGATCCTCTGACCGCCCAATCTCTGGCGTCCAGTAGTATAGCTACACTAACTAGCTAACAACAGCTGCATTATTAAAAAGCTGCATAGTTCCATAAAGCTGATAATGGGATGGATAGTCAATTATCTGACAAACAGTAAAGAGCGAGACTTTCACCTCATTTGTGTTACTGAAGTTTCAACATCTCTTCTTCAGGGGAAGTGTGGAAATGGAGTGCAGGGTTGTTGCAGTACAGAAAATGGGCATCAGATGAGCCAAGGGACAACGGCGACTGCGTCTCCATCTCCTCTGTGAGCAAAACGATGGCCACCCAAAAGTGCTCCGACCGATTTCCCTTCATCTGCTTAAGGGACAACCTGATCCTGGTGAAAGAGAACAAGACCTGGGAGGAGGCCCTGGAGCACTGCCGATCCCTCAAGACATCCTTCTACCCCCACTATTCATATGAGCTGGTCAGCGTGCAGCCTGGAGAGGACCACAACTACATGATGAACAAGGTCATGGAGGCCAACACTGAGAAGGTGGGTCCATATTCATTGACACATGTAATACATGTTGACATGAGATGTGTTCACTGGTTGCTATCCCAGTGAGCACCAACGAGGATTTCAACATTGATTTCTAGTTTAAGACTCGGTCTGAACGTCTAAGACCTCTTTACAGCCTCTTTTCACGAAATACAAATTTGTTTAATGATTCTTACATCAGGAGATTTGTAGGTCACATCATCTCTTCAGAACTACAGTACTTCAATGTAATGCTGTTTTCTCACACATTTTAACTAACAAAGATAGTTTACTGCAATTTCGATAATATTAGAAAATGAATTGATCAGCCCTATTATTCAAAAAAAGCTTTTCACCCAGCACACTGACCAAACATTTTCTTCTGGTTTGGTTCTGTGTTGTGTGGCCTACTGAATACATGCTAATGAACATTTCTTCCTGTGAGTCCAGCCAGGCCCATAAACTTCACATTGACATTACATCATGTGCATTTCTGGTCTTTTGGAATGTACAAATATTAAACTATAATGGCTTGAATATTAATCATAAAAAGAGTTATAATTTACCTTGTTTGCAGGTAGAGGTGTCTGTCAACAGTTTTATAGAATGGTGCTCTATGGGGGGAATGCTTTGTCTCTTAAAATATCTGTGGAGGTTCATTAGTTGTTTCCTCTCTTTAGGTGTGGACAGGCCTCCGTTTCCTGGCCGGTCATTGGTTGTGGGTGAACAGGGCAGATATGTCGTACCCTGATCTGTCCCTCTGCCCCCTCGAGGAGCAGCACTGTGGAGCCTTATCCAAGAATAACACAGGCAGTGTGGAGACCACAGACTGTACGGAGAAATTGAACTTCCTGTGTTACGGCAAATATTAGTGATCACTGCTATCGTCTCTGTGTGTGTTAAAAGGCTATTCAACTTGTTACACAGCTTCTTCAGATGGTAGATATGCAACTGTGTGTAATAATAATAATAATAATACATTTTATTTGTAAAGCACTTTTCATAAAAGAATCTCAAAGTGCTACAGAAACCAAGAAACAAAATAACAAAAAAACACTAAGGGCACATTAAAATCAGCAACCAATAATAATTCAAGTGATAAAATACATTAAGAAAAAAAAAAAAAAAAAAGAAACTAAGGACAACTTAGGAATGCCTGCCTGAACAAGAAAGTTTTAAGCCCTTTTTTAAAAGTGTTCACAGACTGGGGTTTTCGCAGATGTTCAGGGAGGGAGTTCCAGATGTGAGGGGCAGCGGAGCAGAAGGCTTGGTCTCCCATGGTGCGGAGTCTTGAGCGGGGCTGATGGAGGAGGTTTGTGCTTTGGGACCGGAGGTTACGGGTGGATGAGTGAGGGGTAAGGAGGTCTTTGAGGTATTGCAGGGCGTTGCTGTAGATGCAAAGGTGGGTGATGAGGGCGATCTTGTATTGGATTCTTGAGGTTATGGGGAGTCAGTGGAGGTTCTGAAGAATGGGGGTGATGTGGTTGTATTTGCAGGTTTTCATCAGAGTTCGGGCAGCACAGTTCTGAATGAATTGAAGTTTCTGAAGGTGTTTATTGGGTATACCGATGAGCAGGCTGTTACAGTAATCAAGCCTGGAGGAGATTAAGGCGTGGACGAGTTTTTCTGCGTCAGAGAAAGTGAGGAAGGGGCAGAGTTTTGAAATGTTCTTGATATGGAAAAAGCAGGTTTTGTAAAGATGTTTGATGTAGTTTGCAAAGGTCAGTTGTGGGTCCAGTTTCACACCGAGGTTGGGTATGGTTGAGAGGGGGATGTCTTGACCGGAAAAGGAGAAGGAGGTTATGAGTGATGACTGGACCTGATGAGGGGTGCCAATTTGTATGGCTTCAGTTTTAGAGCTGTTCAGCTGGAGGAAGTTGTGACTCATCCACGCCCTAATCTCCTCCAGGCAGTTGGAGAGGGCTAGAGATGATGGTGAAGAGGGAGCAGATGATGATGAGGGAGCAGGTGATGATGAAGGGACCGGGGTAGAAGATAGGTTGGGGTTGGTTCGTAGGTATAACTATTATATATAATGGAATATCAAACTAAGGAATAACTTGTTATGTAAATGTTTGATGAAAGTTTATGGTAAAATGAGAATATAAAGAGTGGTTTTCTTTTCTCAAATGTTATCTCTAAACATCTTCACACTCAACTCTATATTTGACTGACGTTTTGTCTGAGTGTAATACAACTATTTATTACGTTTAATAAATGCAAACGGACAGCAGTGTTTATACACTGCAGCTCAGAAAAGACAGCCATATTGTGCGTTCATTGTCACATGAACAAAATTAAACTCTGGCTTTCCAGCAGCAACCACTGCTGTATGCACCAGTCCAGACAAAATATGGGTGTGATGGCACTCCTCACAGATGCAGATAATATTTCAACAAGACAATGATTATCTACTCTCTCAGTCAAGGTTTAGTCACAACTCTGTAATGTGAAATGTAAACCAAGTTACTGACATTGACTATTGATTAAATATTGAATTTATTTTGTGTTACACCGCACATTAGTCCCTGCTATCGTCTGTGTGTGTGTTAAAATGCTATTCAACTTGTTGCACAGCTTCTTCAGATGGTAGATATGCAACTGTGTGTAAAACCTGTGATTTAATCTAAGACATTAATGGAATATCAAACTAAGGAATAACTTTGCAAATGTTTGATCTAACTCTATGGTAAAATGAGAATATAAAGTGTGGTTTTCTTTTCTAAAATGTTATCTGCTAACTTGACAAATCTTGTAACTCAACTCTGTATTTAACAAGTGTGTCTCTCATAGATCTAGTCATATATCAGCTCAGTAAAAGTTATGCACTGCTTTGTAAGTGCTAAAGTCCTATATCTGACCTTAATAAAAAAAAATAGATAATTTAATGTCTTTTGTTTGCTTTGTTAAGGACTGTCTGAAAATGGTTGCAGTGATTCACAGTATTTAAATAACCTTTTTTTATTCACTGTTCTGTTTTATACTGCTATTGCTAAGTTCTAATTCTGAATCCAAACTTAAAGCAAAATTACTTGAATGAGTTAGTTAACTGGTATAACTAATACTCTGGCATCACTCAGCCTGAGCAGTAGTTATTGCCAGTAAACAAGCTAATAAACGAACAAACACTAGTTAACAAGTTCTGAAATACTGATTGTATATTTGCATTTACTTAAAGTAAATGCCAGTATCTTCTTACCTCAGTTGTCAGAAGGTTGTTTGTCTTCAGCAGTAAAGTTTTATAAGTGAAAAAAACACATTTTAATTTCCACATTTGAATGTAGTAAATTATTGAAAAACAAGAAATCAGTCACATTGACCAGCAGCAACCAAAAAAACGACCTCAAACATGAGGTGTTAAATAACCTTTCTGAATTTAGCTGGCTGCAGCTAATAAGCTAACAAATGAGCCAACAAGCTTGCAAAGGGATTGCTCACATTACCAGTAACTTAGAGTAGCTACTGTTGATGTTTTAACTTACATTTTAAAAGTTTGTCTGTCTTCACCTGTAACGTTTCATTAAAAAGTGATACACTTTTATTTTTTATACAGTCCTACAATGTGCTACAATGTCCCAACATGGGACAGGAAACTCAGAACCACTAATTAAAAGTAAGATTATTCAGCTTTTTGTCAGATTTTGTAACAAAAATAGTTTTGGATTATTCTTTATGGATTACGAACATATTTATGTTTATTTGCTTTTCATTATTTGGACAAAATTAATTTCATAAACTGATCCTTTAATGAAAAATAGAACTTGTGTCATATCTCATTTGTGTCGCCACAGTCAACTTTTTACACTGTTTTGCTATGCAGAGATGGATGAAGTGATTAACATGGAAACAGGCCGTCACAAAATCTTGTCTGTAACTCACTGTGAACCATGTCCATGTTGTAATGGAAACGCTGGAGATGAAACTGAGTCTTGTCAGTGAGTGTTGCTGTGCAGAGACACATACTCTGTAAATCACTGTAGTCAGCTGGAAGAGTGAGTATCAGTATTGGCAGGCCGACACACACACTGCATGTCCTATAACAGAAGCGTCAGTGTGCTGAGAAGCTGCTGGGATTAGTGTCCTTCTATTTCAGGAGTGAAATGTCTGAGACTAACGAAAAGATTCTAAGTTTGAAAACAAATTCAAAGAAGCTCAAGGATATCTGGAATATATTAAAGGCCTGATGAAGGACATTGGAGTTAGTGTGATTGGCTTTTTCTGTTTTTGTCTTTAGCAACTAATCCCTCACTGTGTTTAATGAAGCTGGCAGCTATTCAGTCATGAATGTTTCACAGATGTGTCATATGCTCGTTATGAGCGAGTGATGGAAACCTTTCCAGGAGGGCAGGGTCTCAGAAGCCCAGCCTCTCTGAACGGGATGGTGGTGTGTGTGTGTGTGTGTGTGAGAGAGAGAGAGAGAGAGAGAGAGAGAGAGAGAGAATCTGTAGAAAATAAATGATTTCACTTAGCAGTCAGTAGTTTTTGCAAATTATGAATATGTAGTTTCTTCAGATTGTCCTGAGTTTTAATAAAAAACAGGACTTCATAAAACAAGTTAAGAACTAAGCATTTCACAAACAAAAATTTAACAAGTGGTGCCTTCCAAAATATGAAAAATAGCATGTGACTGTTAAAAATGATTCATGAGCATTGGCAGAGCTTCCAGGTCTGTGAAGTGAAGCCAATGCAGAAGTGTCTTAAACCTGAATTCTGTGGCCAGCAGGTGCAGCTGTATGGACTGTAAGAAAGAGCAATACCAACATTAAAAAATCTAACAAACTATGGTATTCTTTGGCAAATAGTCAACTGAGCTTAAACGAGCCAAACTGTGTGTTTAAAAACTGTTTTTAAACTACTAAAATAGTCTTTTAGTTGATGTTGTTGCAAATTTGCCATTCAGCAAGCAAGTCCAGTTTGTCTGGTGCCCAGGTAATGTGCAGTGCAGTTAGATAGTCTCTAGGTGGTAGATGCTGCTTCTGGCCAGCTGCTGACACACTCTCCGTCTAACACAAGCATACATTGTGACATTGAAAATATCATTGACTTTAGTGCTAATGCTTTCCCAAAACTTTGAGCACAAAACCAAGTAGCTACTCTCTTCTGGTCAAACCCAGAGGCCAACTTAAAAGAGAACAGATGGGCCTGAAATCAGAACCCTGACCCTTCCAGCTGGCTCGGAAACAGTTACGACTGACAGCGTGTACTGCTGCTGTTTCTGCTGAAACAACTATAGCTGTATATTTTTTGTCTAGTTGGAGGTAGAGATTTGGTGCAGTGAAAGGAAAAACCTTTCAGTCAAGGCGAGATTAATATGGATTAGAAGTTAAGTGGAAAATTGACTAAGTAGCAAAGAAAGCATGACATTATTCATTCTCACCTTCAATATTTTGGAAAAGATGATGTCAGAGTTTTGCTTATTTTGTGGATGTAGGCAGATACAGACACTGTAGTCTACAACTGTGTGATCTGAGAGCTGTTCATCAGAGGAAACCCAAACATTTCAGTCTGTCCAGCATTGTACAAAATAGTACAGGAGAAATTCTTAACGTATGAACTCAGCAGATCTCTGTATTATCTTAACAACTGATAAGGTTGAAACGAGTCTACAGCCTTGCTGTTTTAGGTTGTACTTCGACCCAGTGCTTTGAGTTAAATGCTAACATCAGCATGCTAACATACACAGTACACAATCAATCAACCAGACTTTATTTGTATAGCACTTTCCATACGAGCACAATATAACACAAAGTGCTTCACACATTAAGGACTGGTGTAATGTGTGTTTTCTTTCTGATCCTCGTCAACACACGTGCAGCTGAGTTTTGAAGCAATTGTGATAGAGCTATACTCTTCATGGGGAGACCAGAAAGTAGAGCATTACAGTAGACAATCCTGCAGGTAATAATAGTGTGCAATAATGTCTCTGTATTGGTTTGAGAGAGAAACGTCTGCACTCTTGGAATGTTTTTAAGATGATAAAACTATAATAAAAAGTGAAACTAAGATCTGAATCAAAAAGACTATAAGGATTTTTACTTGTTGACAAGGATTTAAAGCCAGTGCTAGCAGTTGCGTCTCTCTCAGCTTCAGTACAGATGAACAAGACCTCAGTTTTGTCCTGATTAAGCTGGAGAAAATTCTTTGCCATACAGTTGAAAAGGTCATCTATTGGTCATGAGTCATCAGGAGATGCAGATATGTAAAGCTGTGTCGTCAGCATAGCGGTGAAAACTGATGCCATGCCTCAGTTTGACACTACATATGGTCTGTATAGGCAAATAGTTGGTGACCCAGTCAGTGTAGTAAAGTGAATTGTCAGAATACAAAATCATACAATAACATTAACAGAGAACGTTTCAAATATGCTAATTAGGGGACTGCCCAATGTTCCAATGGCCCATATTCCAAAAAATGTCCCATTGGACTGAAAGCCCTTTTGTCTGACAGCCAACAATTATCCGATAAACAAAAGCCCTTTGCTCCGAAGCCTCAACCCTGCAAGTTTTTTTGCCCTTAATGTCTTAGTGTATTTGCATGAGCAGGAAAGTAAGTTGACTTTTATCAGGTGAGCTCCACCGTCATGGTAACAAGTCAGGTGATCTTCGTCCTCATAGTTTTTGTTGTCATGGTATCAGTAACAAAGGTGATAAATGTTGTGAAACGCAGTTTGGTTAGGTTTAGACACTAAAACTACTGGGTTATGTTTAAGAAAATATTATTTTTGGGGTTGAAATAAATACCTTACAAAAAGTTAGTGAACCAGAGTTTGTTTTCGGAATAACAGGCTTTTGGACAAATGGTATCGCACCAGATATAGCACTAAGAACATAGTACAGGAGAGGCACATGGGAATGTCAATTGTTTTGTAGACATAAAACAAATATTGGACAAATTTCAATTTTGACCTGCTGATGGCACTAGAGGAAAAGTCATTAACATTAATCCTCTTGGAACCATTAATTGCCTGTACAAAATTTTGTGCAAATCTATCCATTAGATGTTGAGATACTTCACTGAGTAAGTGGAAATATTGACTTACTGGTGTGAGGAAAAGTGTAAAAGTTCACCAAAAAGTAGGTTTCATTAACTGGACACCATGAATATCTGTACAAAAGCAACAATATTTATTAGTGTATCATAGGAATCGTTGTGTTTTCATTATCTTAGGAAGAGCTATTTTTATCTACATACTTCCATGCAGTCTGTCATGTTGAAAAACTTTCTACAGTAGCCCAGAATGGACCAAAACACTGGCTGTAGATAGAGTTCTTATTTTGCACCTTCCTGTAACAGATTGCCTGAGCACATCGTCAGTTGTTACACGGACACCAAGACTCCTGAGGCAGTGTTTACTTCTAAACTGTGTACCACCTCCAACAGGATCTGCCAACTTAAACTTTCTGGTATTAGCTGTTGAATGGTTCTTCTTGACGTCACTCACTCTGAATCCATTCCCTCATCTGTCTGGAGCGGCAGCTTTCCTGCTTGTGACGCCGTCTTTACGGGACAGCTGGCAACGTTTACTGTAGTGAGAGCAACTGACGGGGTGTTGTGACCCAGAGGAGAGAACAGAGCGGCAGCCTTCGGGCGAAGACTGAAGTTCTCAGATTGTACAGTAAACTTATAATTAAACGTGCATGTCAACCTGACCTATACACAGCAAACAAATAATAAAACATTTGATTACACACTGAACCCAGAGACAATGCAAAGGCAGCAGGAAAGAACACAAAGTCAATGGAGAGAGCAGAGGAAGGTTCACTCCAGGTGACATGAACTGAGGAGACAAATCTGTTCAAGCTGAAAATGTTTCAACTTCCAGCGATAAAGTTTCATGATGCAAGATGATTTCAATCCAATCAGCCTGTTTGCTGAAGGTCTACACATT